ACAGCGTACGAGGTAATGCTACAAGTTATGATGCTTGGATCACACTGTTCATAGGCGATGAGGTTTCTGAAGAGAGACTCTGCATTGTATTCGATCTCTATTGGTGGGATTTCCATAACTCCATTTTTGAAGGTTATGTCGAGCATGTTGTCCCAAGTATCGCTTCTAACTTTAAATTCGACACCAGCTTGTAGAAGTTCTGTGACAGAAGGAATCGGTTCCCAATAACTATGAGTTTCTGCTTGCGGGTACAAGGCAATTAAAGAGTTTCTTATGACATCAAGTAAATGCTTAGTTTCCAATGGTCTGTCGGCGTGTGGAACCTGGGCGAATGCAGGCCCCTCAAAGAATTCCACAGCAAGCAGGAGTAGAGCTTTGGATTCTGGTTTATCTTTTTCCTTTGTGTGGTGGAATAAACAGTCAACAACTTTCCAAGGAAGCTGGTTTTCAAGTAGAAACAAGTCTTTTCTAAGTGCCAACATCATCCATGCCGTATAGAACAGAGGATCATCCTCGTTTCTGGGCACCTCTTTTGCATACTTGCGGAAGACTTCAATGATAAAGCAACCGTCAACCACCATCATTTCCACAAATTTTTCACTACTCATATCAATTCTTTCTTCATAACAATCTCGACAGTGTTGCTCCATACTTCTAATGGCATCGACCAAGTACTCCAAACTGGTCTCTGAAGTTGGATTTCGACCAAGGAGGCAATGCAAATACCATAGCTTAATCTCTTCCATGACTTGCAGGTCCTTTTCTCCGTGGTGAAATGGCCCTATTGAAATTAAATCTGGAACAAAGGCTTTTTCATTATGCCTGCGTAGTACATTAGGGATTCTAAATATGCAACTACAAGCAGGACGTGGAGGCTGCTGCGGAATCCTTCCTCGAATTGAGGACACTATTAATTCCACAGCATTTCTATTTTCACTCAAGGTTGCCATATTCCCATTATTTTCTGCAATCACATCATCTCTTCTGTCCTCATCCCTAATTTGCATCACGGAGTGGTCACTAACATTGCTGCCTGCCATCTGGAACACCTTACTCCTATCTGGTAATATATGTTTTTAATAGAAGAAAAATGGTTATTCTATCTATAGGCTTAATTAATGTCTTCCCCTTGTAACGGACATTCGGTCTCACTTTAACCCATATGGAACTGAAATGTTCTCACTTAACTCTACAATCTCAAAATTTGCTTAAATTTTTCTCACTTTACCATCTTCATCCACAAAACCCTTAAGTGTGCTGACCTGACATGAACATTTTAGTATTTTTAGCTATTATAAAATTTGAAGTAATCATTTTTTAAAGAGAACAGAGAAGGTGGTTTGGGTGTCATCATAAGTTGTTATGTTGTTATTTTTTATTTTAAAGTAATATTCATTTTTTTTTTTTAACTCTTGGTATGTACGTGGCAGACTTTTTAACAAAATAATGGATCCCTTTCATGCCACATTATCAATTTTGACAGTTTTTTAAACATACTTGACGGTACAGGGCAAATTGAGATAGACTCTATGGAGGGTTAAGTGAGAAAATTTTAATTTCAAGGGTAAAGTGAGATTGAGTGTCTGTTACAAGAGGGAAACAATAATTAATCTTATTCTTTAAACCAAATATGTCATCAATGCCAAGTGGAAAAGGGCCTTAACTTGCATACTAAATGGTCTTAAGTTCGAACCTCCATGGCACCTTGGTAGTGTGTGTGTGTGTGAAACTTTTCCCCTTGTAGTTAGACTATCGCTTATCGATTGCTTGTATTCAAATGATAATATATATATATATATATATATATATTGGAACAATATATTAAGATGGAATGCCTCTAAATCTAATATGCTTAGCAGAAAATATAATAAAATGTAATCTGCTTTATGCATGCATGCATGTAACACTTGTTTCACACAACTCTTTTTAGAGATAAATTTCATATTTGTAGTATCCGTTAGTAGCGAGCAGTAAAAACATGCTTATGTTTGTCAATTACCTGTTGTCTAGAGGGAGATCGAGGCCTCGCACACCACTGATTCACACATTATAGTATTATACATATATATATATATATGTATAGCAGGTAATTGACAAAGGTAAAGAGGAAAGTGCTTGTTACCTGGGGTGTGCGTTGCTCTTCAATTGCAGACTCTCTCTTTTCTTTTTGCTGGGAAGAAACTCAAGGGAAGGAGGGATCCTCGGCCCCTCTTATAGCTAGCGACTTCTAAGCATCCAATGTTGAAAATACTAATGCTCATTTTGCGATAAAAGTATCTAAAAAATTCTACAAGAATCAGGAATATAAGTAACTTGGTGGAAGAGGCAATGTCGCCTAAAGATCAGTGGCTGGAATAACAGCAAAGAATAAGCCAAGTCGGCGGTGTCGAATTTTCTAGATTATTTCACCATGATAACTTCAGATGAGGATTCTATTAAGACAAAGAATGATTATTTACCTACCTGTCAGAATTCACCATGCTACGATGAGGGTTGTATTGCAAGTAGATGATGATATTTCCACAAGTTGTGGTGAATTTAGTGCAAGTAATTAGAGGTTTCTGAATCAAGTATATACAAGTTTTCCACAAACGTAAACCGAGCTCTGCAAATTCTCAATTGCTATAGCTATACATAAATATTTATATACATGTAAGCAATACAGCCTTGGTTTCATATTGAACATACAACATACACAAACAGCTTTCAAAGCATTGGCTAAAAATTCAGAGAGACAAGCCATGACAGTGTATTAAGTAAATTTACAAAGACATTGGCCAAAACACAATTGCATACTGGAAGCCTAGTAGTAAGTCAGAATGGTATATATGGTCTGAATGAATGTCAAACCTAGGATCATGAGTGCAGCAGCAAATGACAAGATTGACCATGGATTGTTGAAATAATCACGTCTGAGAATCGTCTGCCATCGGTGCCAGCGATCTTTATAATACGCATTCACATTCTTGGTGAGTTCTGCATAAGAGAAGTAGCCCGGGATGGTGTCATTGTAAAGCCTAGTGAAGAAACGAGCTATGTCCTCCTTGCTCAAGACCGTAGTTATAATTCCTCTCTGAATGAGAAGGTGTACATCTTTGCTAGACTTAATAAGGTTGTCCAACACCACAGCATAAGAGGTAATGTTAGAAATGGAGATGCTTGGATTGCACTGCTCATATGCGATGAGGTTTCTGAAGAGAGACTCTGCGTTCTCTCGAATGTTTACTGGCGGAATTTCCATCACTCCATTCTCGAAGGTTATGTCAAGCATGTTGTCACCAGTGTTTCGAAGCTTAAACTGAACTCCAGCTTGTAGAAGCTCTGACACAGATGGAATTGGTTCCCAGTAACTTTTGAACGTTAACTGTAACTGTGTATACGAGCCAAGCAAAGAGTTTCTTATGATGCCAAGTAAATGTTTGTTTTCCACTTCTTCATTGAGATGTGAAGACTGTGAGAAGGTGGAGTGCCTAAAGAAGTTGAGAGCAAGCTGGAACAGAGAATAGTTTGCTGGTTTATCATTGTTTTCCCTTGTGTTGTGGAACAAACACTCAAGAACTCTCCAAGGAAGCTGGTTTTCGAGTAGAAACAAGTCGTTTATAAGCGCAGTGTGCATCCATAACGTGTAGAACACTGGATCATCCTTGTTACTAGGCACCACTCTTGCATACTTGCGGAAAAGTTCTATAATAAAGCAACCATCAACCACCATCATTTCTACAAATTTTTCACTGCTCATATCAATTTTTTCACCGTAGCAATCTCGACACTGTTGTTCTATACTTCTAATGAGCTCGATAAGGTACTCCAGCCTCGTCTCTGATGTTGGTTTTCGGTCAAGGAGGCAATGCATATACCATAGCTTAATCTCTTCCATGACTTGCAGGTTCCTTTGTCCATGGTGAAATGGCCCTATTGAAACTAAATTCGGAAGAAAAGCTTTTTCGTTATGCCTGCGTAGCACGTTAGGGATTCTAAAGATGCAACAACAAGCTGGCAATGGAGGCTGCTGGTTAAGCTTTCCTCGAATCGAGGATGCTATTAATTCTACATCATGCCTGCTTTCACTCAAGGTTCGCCTCATATTTTTTTCTGCAATCACATCTCAGTTCTGATGACTAATTAGCACCGTGTAGAGGTCATTAACGTTGTGCTCTACCATCATGAACTCCATTCTAGCTCCTAGTTAGCTAAAATCTGGTTTCGACAGAGGAAAATGGAAATTGTTACAACCAAATGTCATACAAAGATTGGAGCAATTAATGAATATATATATTAACAAAAAATGTGCGTTGAACCTCTACTTGGAAATTGTTACAACCAAATGTCCGTTGAACAACTGCTATTCTTGCAATCCTGTAGGGTGAAACTGAGATCTAATTATCCCGTTCCACCGAAAATTCGAGGATGAGATTGATAAAAAAAAAAAAAAAGCATTTAATTAAGAAAAGTTGAGGGGTTTTAATAATTTGGGTTGACGTTCATTTAACAATCTAACAATTTGTAGTGATTTCTGTGGTGTTTTTGACCTACATTGTAAAGGGGGATGCATATGCATGCATTATGGATAAAGAGGAAGATTTGAGGCGTTACAGTTAACACGTTCTATATATGAATTTAACAGGTAATTATTGATCAAAAGGTAAAGAGGAGAAACATGCTTCTTTCTTACCCGGGCATGCAAATTGCAATGCAAGTTCTAAACTGCGTGCACCATGTTCATCGAATTTGATGCAATTCTCCAATTGCAGGTTTTTCCTTGAGAGAATATTTTAATAGAGAGAAAAATTACAACATAAAAAGACCAATAAGGGCATGTTTGTTTGACAGTATTTAGCGCCAATCCTGTCTTGAACCAAACGCTTATTTAGCAACTGGACTATACAGAAGCATGGGCTTAACTAACACCAGCCCAAAATACACACGGACTCGAGCCGAAACACCGGCCCTAAACCCTAAACCCTCTTCGTCCTCTCTCGCCTCCAACAGCGAAGCCAAAATCTTCGCTGGTCTTCAACAAGGCAAATCTTCGATCGTAGTTAAATCTTCGTTCGTCTTCAAAGATTTGTCTTCGCTGTCGATAAACATGTAAGAGCCTTTTTCAAATTGTGTTTTGACATGGACAGTGAACTATCAATTGTGCTTACCCTGTACCAATTGATTGTTAACTAGCATTTCTTTATTGGGAATTTGGACTCTGATCATCGAACCTCAAATGTGTTTCGTCTGTTTTGTGTATTTGGGGTCACTTTTCCGATTGGGTTTGGGTCATCTACTCCTTTTTCAAGCTGAGAAATAATGTGCATAACTATAGTCAAATTTGTGATTCACTAATCATTTCAGATTCATCTAATGCTTTGGAATTCAAAGCACTTTTGAAATTCAGATTCCTCACTTGTGAAAAATTTACATGTTCTCACTTTAAGATTGGTGCAAAACCATGTTTAAAAGCAAGCTGAAATAGGAAAAATCGGTTTTATCAAACAAGAACAAGAAGTATATATGTTAAATCATGGATTTTTTTTCACATTTGGTACTCATTGCAAAATGCTAGGTGAAACCTAAAAAAGGCCAGTTGCAATAATTTCCCCATCTGTTCAAGAGGGAAATCTTATTTCCACCTTAGAGAAATGCATGAAGTCCTACACCAATATTGCAAACGATATTTTGCCTTTAATGAGACCTGTAGTTTATTTTTCTTTGTATGACTATCTGTCTCAACTCTCTCTCTATCTCTACCAAAAAAGAAGCGTGTCTTGTGCTGTTTATTTATTTATTGGTGATTTCATGTCCTTATTGGCAATCAAATTGATAATTCATTTTGCGAATGTGTTCTTTGTGCTGATTTGCATTGCTTAATTTAATACTTCTTTGTAGATTGTTAGTCGTTAGGGGCTGTCCTAAGGCATACCATCCATCGTGCATCAAGCGGGACGAGTCCTTCTTTAAAGCAAAGGCCAAGTGGAATTGTGGTACGCTACAATACATTAAAAGCTTGTTCATTTTTCACCAAATTTTTTTTAGTTTCTGTAGGCAATCTGGAAATGACTCATGTGTTTTAAGTTTTTCTCATGACTCCTCCTTGAAGAGGCACTCCTTTTTTCTTATTTTCCTGCCATTTTCTATTTCCAGTTGTGTTCTTATCACCATTCTCTATAACCATATAGGAAACATAACCTTTTTCTAATAAAGACAGGATTTATATCCACATCTCTGAATAGCATCTTTACACTTTAGTGGGGGATTTGTACAAGGTATGGTTGCAAAACTTTTGTGAAATTGTCTGTTCCCTTTTCACATGACGTTTCAATTTGGGGTCAGTTCTATTTTTCCAAGGCTTAGCTTTGTTATGAAATAAACCAGTTGCAACTTGCACGCCAAGACCATTAGTCTAGTGCTGCTACCTAGGCAAGAACAAAATTTATTTTTCATCTGATTGTTTGTTAAAGCTGCATGTCTTAATTTATACCCCGTGCATTTTTTAGTGTGATTCCATAAAAGAACTGATTGTTGAAAATGTCTCTAAAAACTAGTGAGTTGTAGCATGCATTTTTAACGGATAATCTGTAACAATAAGTGCAATACACTGACCTTCTTGTTATGGTTTTTCTTAATTAGGTAGCGTTATCTGCATCTAGAGAACGTTAGCATATTGTGCACCAATATATCCAGTTGGATATTCTTATATGTTACAAATTTATATGAGTAAGTTGTAGTTAAAATCTTGGTTTTCCTCTAGTGTTCTGTGATGGTATTTATCAGATCCTTGTATGTCCTGCTGTCTATATATTGATATATACTGGTAATCTTTAGTTTTAGTTTCAATTTTATTGTATGACAATTGATTAATCTATGATGAATGGATTGCATTGGTGCACTTCAAATTAATTATATGTTTTTTTTAATGATAGCATAACCAATTGCAAAAGAATGGAGGAACAAGGCTTATCCAAGTGCACAGCACGTGCCTAGAGGTTTTAGATCGTCTTCCTCTTCCGCCCCAAAGCACTTTCCCCTAAACTTTAACCTAACTCTCATCCTATCCACCATGAGACTCATATCTCCAAGAACCCTCTACTGCTTGTCTTCCTCTTCGCTATCTCCTCCTTTTTTTCAGATTTCCCACTTTTCAACCTCTTCACCAGCTCACCATTTTCACAGTAACTATTCTTTCAGACGCCATGATGAGGATGTTCGGAATGTGAGGATTTCGGTTTGGTGGGACTTTGAAAACTGCCATTTGCCGGCCGGCGTCAACGTGTTCAAGGTAGCACATGCGATCACTGCTGCTATCAGGGCCAATGGGATAAAGGGTCCCATTCAGATCACAGCTTTCGGCGACATGTTGCAGTTGTCAAGGGCTAACCAGGAGGCCTTGTCCTCTACTGGGGTCAATCTTACTCATGTTCCTCACGGTTAGTCTGATTCTTCATCTTAACCGCTTATCGTTTCTTTTTGTGTGGTGAGGTTTGTTGCAATGGCTGGAAAGGTGTATGATTGCAGACTATGAGATGAATGATTTAATTGCATAGATATAGTTGTTTTGTATGTATGCCCATATATTTCTATAAAAAATATGTATAAAAAGTACTTTTATATTGAGGAAGATAAATGCTGAAACAACTTTGTTTTCTTTTGTGAATTATTTAATTCAATTTACAAGTTGCTGCAAATGAGTTGAAGTTGGGAATTATGTGGTGCAATGCTGAAATAAAGTAGCCTATAGTATACTCATACGTGTATATTTGTAATTGTATCCTATGAGTGCAAGTGGTGTGACAAGGGTTGACTAAGTGGAAGATTGTGTGAAAAAATTGTATATAAAGTATCTGGAGGAATGCAGTTGTATATCTGATCTTTCGAGGTTCTAAAAGTGAACGCATGAGACCTCCAAACATTTTGACCCTCTTGAGCTCTAGTACAGCAGAATGCTAAAGGTAGCACAATGGTACACACAATATATGTTGTTACTGAGTGCAATGATATACTGTTTAAGTTTTTAAAGAAATGTTTATTTTTTAAAGTGATCTAAGCGAACACGTCGAGGATATGGTTGACTTAGATTTTGTTGCTGTTTCTCTTGATAAATTTGAAGGTTGTTTTTACTTTTACTGAAAGTTATGAGGTGAAAATAAGTAAATCAAACCCAAAAAATAAAAATAAAACACTTAAGGAGGATTGCTTTCAGCAACTTAGATAAATATAAGGACATTACATTTTTTGAAATCTCAAATTTTCATGGATGAGATAAGGTTGTGTAAACAGTATTACAACAAAAAAGAAAAAAGAAAAAAAGAAGAAGCATGTTATGCTGCACATAGTGACCAATAATAGCACTAAAGGAGAACACAGTTAAGCAGTTAAAGGTGTAATTCTTTGAGGGTCTAGTGGCTGTCTACCATGGTGTTAGGCCTCTAGTTGTCACCAAAATGAGTATGAGTTGCTAAAATTTATGAAATTAAAAAAAAAAATTAAAGGAAAGGAGAAACAAAGATCTAGATATGGCTATCAGCGTAACAATGCATAAATGTAGCTTTGACCTGGCATTGCTGCACAATCGGAGCAGTAACTTGCTTTGTTCTTCGATGCTCACAATTTGTAACAAAGTAAATAGATGTTCAAATTTAATCTCTCCTTTGTATGCATTTGTACTTCCCAGTATGAAGAATAGATATATTTTTAACAGTTGCAGATCTTGGAGTCGACTGTCTCTAATCATGGTAAACTTCATCCATTTATAGTTGACTATAACATTCCAATAGTCAAGTATCGCTGATATGGTTAATTGTGAGATTGCCAACTAATACTAGTATTCTATTATATATGAATTTGGTTAGGGGTCTGAAGGGGCTGCATATGACCTCTTTTAAGTGTTGCTATTTGAACTATCGCTTTTTATCCATATGCAATTCTTTTGGACAGTAGGCTGTACTTTAATATGCTGAATATAAATCTAGGATCCTTCTACATGACAGTTTATTTAATCTTGACTGTGCTTTTATCTTTGGGCTTGTTTGTGTTCAAAGTTAGTCATTGCTGGTTTGTTAGAGAAAGCATTAAAGATTTATGACTTGCAATCTAAGTCAGGATGCAAATTTCTCTTCATGTTGTTGTTCTTGGTAAAGAAGGTATTTTTATTTATTGATATTTTTATGCAGAATATATAAATTTTTCACCGATGGTATTTGATATGTATGTCATCATTTTATGCAAGATGCCATACTGGTGGTAAATGCTTAATGTACCTTCTGAAGTAAATTTCACTACTGATTTTTCTGTTTGAAATAAAATTTCAACTTGAAATGGGTTTAACATGTGCATTCCCATCTGTGTCTGCGCACAGACAAACATTCAGTTCTTGTATCCTAACCATATTATATTGCAAATATTTTCGTTATTGCAGGTAGAAAGAACAGTGCTGATAGGTCTCTTCTTGTAGATCTTATGTATTGGGTTTCTCAAAATCCCCCACCAGCACATCTTTTCTTAATTTCTGGTGACAGGGATTTTGCTTCCATTTTACACCGGTTAAGAATGAACAACTACAATATATTGCTAGCAAGTCCTGAAAATGCTCCTGGTGTCCTCTGCAGTGCTGCAAGTATCATGTGGCCATGGCATGCTTTGCTTACAGGTGAAAACCTCACTGGAAAGTATTTTAACCAACCACCTGATGGTCCCTATGGTTCTTGGTATGGCCATTACAAGGTACCTCTTGAAGACCCGTACTCAGTGGTTGAGCCTCCAGCACAGTCACAAACTGAGAAGTTGTCTGAACCTGGTTCAGATTCTAAGCCTCGTCCAATTCCTACTGCAGTCATGAAGCAAATTCGTCAGATATTGAAGTCACACCCTAAAGGAATCTCCATTACAGACCTTCGCATGGAGCTTGGGAAATGTAAGTTGAGTATAGATAGAAACTTCTATGGGTATAAAAAGTTTTCGAGCTTTCTTTTATCAATTCCACATATTTTAAATCTCCAACCGTTAGGTGATGGAAAATTTCTTGTACGTGATGGAAGTGAAAAATCATCTGAACCATGTCAGTCCAATCTAGGTATGTCCACAGAATCTATTGCTGATAATGGAGGCCAGGATCTGAGTTTAGCCTCACAGTTAGATTGTGAGGACAAGTCTATTAATGTAAGTGCAAATAGAAAGTTGTCATCACCTTCATCCCATGAATCAAATGTGGAAGACCCTAATAGAGAATTGCAACAACCCTTTTCACCTAAATCGGATGGGAAGTCAATATTGCCTCCTTCCCTTGAGAATGTGAAGTCTTCGGCAAAACCACAACTTTCTGCACTTGATGAGAAGTCACCATCCACTCCTTGCACTGAGAATGTGAAGACTTCAGTGCCCATTGATGGAAAGGTTGTCGAAGTGGCTAAAGAACAAGATAATGAGCTTCATTTTCCCCCAGCAGTTGCACAAGGTTCTTCATCTGAGGTGGGTTATTTTAAGTGCATTTGGAGACAATGGTTTGGCTATAGAGGTAATGTTTCAGGGACTAGAAGTCATGACGGTCAAGAAGATCATTACACTTCCGGTAATGTCACTGAGAAGGAAGGCCATGACACTCCAGTGAAACAGTGTACTTCTGTTGGTAACTCTGGACAAAGAAAAGATAAGGAAAAGTTAGTGGGATCAACGAGTCAGGTCGTTGATCAAGCACCTCACCTTTCATCTTCTTCATCCTACAATGAATCAGATAAGGACAGCGAAACTGCAACAAGTTATGAAGTATATGCTCATAAATCTAAAACAAGTCAAGGGTTTTTTGATCAGATAGTAAACTGGTGTAAATTCTGGAGAAGTAGCCCGTGCTCTGATCAATTGAGTGATCAATCCTGTGACAGACCGAACCTGATGAACACTCACTCTCAAGAGCACATGCTCTTTTCGACGGATTCATTTTGGCATGACTTGGAATCTTTCATGGGCACACCTAAAGGATCAGTTCTTGTTTCCGAATCAAGGACCAGGTATCATTTACTCCTTCATTCTTTTTTGTGAATTATACACACACCCAGTTCTAATCTTCACGTTTGTGTTACCTTGTGTAGTGGAATTCTTTTTTTGATTAAAAAACAATGATCCCAACTTCCTTTTATTTCGTCACAGGGATAATTCTGTCCAACTTTAGAACTAGGAATTTGCTAACATGTTTATTGATTTTTTGTCTGATTCTTTAGGTCCTTAGATTTTGTAATAGAATACATATTATGTATGTACATAGGGTAATGTTCTCTTGCAAAATATCCGGCACGTATGTTGTAGTACTCAGAATTCAAATTTCGATTGTAAGTTTGGCAAGAGAGAATTTCCTTATATATGTGTATATGTATGAAATTTAAACCCTTAAGAAGTCTTGGATATAAAAGGATCCATATTCTTCATCTGAATTTCTGAATTTGTCCATGAGGCAGAAAATTTTGATGTTAGAGTTGAATGAATTGCATCAAGGTGGTGCAATAGAGTTTAATTATGGGTGTAGGAACTCTTTCATTGAGGATACAAGATTGATCAGTCCATTTCGAGATTGCAAAAAGTACAAGAAACCTGAAGATAGGCTTTTTTTTAAGCCTCGGATTGTATTCAACGTACTTTCATAGTCCTTAAGTTTTAAATAGTTCTCAATGATCCTTGCTCATACTGGAGTTGATATTCAAATATCCGGTCAATGGAACAGTTGAACCCAAATTGATTCTTTTGCTGATTTTCTTTGACAGTATTGTTTGAACTTGGTTGCGTCAGAAGTTGCTATTAAACTTGTATCTTAATGCTATCCTTGTGCCTTCAATTGTTACAGGGAACAGATGGCACTGAATCTTCAGAAGGAAGGACCTTTGTTTCTTAGATCTCTCCGCAAGGGCGATCTCGTTCACTTGGTAGATTTGTTAATATCAGAAAAAAAATGGGTGGAAGAAAGCCCCTCCCAGACGTCACCATTCAAACTTACCTATCACAATGGAAAGAGTTCTCTAGATCATTCTAATGATACAAATAGGTTGACATCCATCTTTTTGAATAAACCATCACAACATGACATACAAAGATCACGAGAACATGATGGAGATGAAAAATGTCGGAATATTCCTCATAGTGGAGTTTCACTACCTGCCATTAAAAAGAAACCCTCCAACAGGTGTAGAATTGAGATAATAGCCGATTGCCAAAAGCTTGTAAATGAGATATTGAAAGAGTACCCAGAAGGATATAACATGGCCTTATTCAGAAAGTTGTTTCTTGATAGGTATGGCTACCACCTTGATTTGCATATGCTTGGTTATCAAAAGTTGGCATCCCTGTTACAAATGATGCCTGGGGTTAAACTAGAGTCCTCTTACATCAGACCTGCTTGTAAGACTCCAAAAATGTCTGATATGGACAGTTATGTCCGTAATATCCAAAAACAGACTGTCAGTCATACAGTGGCTAATGCAGATAGTGAATTATCTGATGCGTCAACCAAGGATGATGTTAGCGACTCACCATGGGAAGAGCTGGGCCCTGTTGCCAGCACATCGGAAAAAAATGAAGTGGAAGTAGCATCAAGGAGGAAGGCAATAGAATCAACATGTTTTGATTATGAACCGTCCCTTTCAGATGGCTTGTCAGATTCAGAAGGAGAGACTTCGCCCTTAACTGAATTAGAAGGAGAAGGTGCGGCCAGAGTGAACAAGGAAGATAGCTCCCTTTTGCAGATCCTTGACTCGTGGTACAGCGGTAAGGATGGCGGAAGTAGCAAGGACAGGTCAGAGAATTTTGAGGGGTTGGTTGATTTCACAAATGTTTCTAAGCTATCTGTTTCATCTGGAGTTGGCCCCATGAGTGGTACTTGTTCGGGAAACGAAGCCCGCAAGCAAAGACGTCAAAAGAACTACTGTTTTGTTGCAGATTCTGGTGATAACAAGGACAAGCTATTTGATGGCATAGTAGGTAGCTTGAAGAAATCAAGTGAGCCAAGGATGAAGAGCTAGAGGGTTTAAATAATTAAGAGTGAGAGCAAGTCAATGAAGCATATATCTTCTACATTCGGAATAGATACTAGGAAATGTAGAACTTGAGTAATCAAGTGATGTAATCCCTGGTCACGGATCATTTTTTTGAAATTAGGTTTCGTTTACAGATTTTATTTTTGTAAAAGGCGGAGCCATGTTTCAGGATGTTGATATAGATTTTCCTATCCTGATTAATTTATAAGAAATGGCTTTCCAAAATAATTCATTATTGATTGGCTTCCAATGTGTATATGGATTCGCTTTCAGGAATAGTCTTCCCAATGTATAGTTAGTTGCAAGAAATGGACCTACAGATACTGGCATCAAGCGGTATACAGAGGCAGTTTTATCAGGTAAAATTACTGCTACTGATCATAAATATAATTTTAAAAATAAATTACAACATTTTACATGCAGAAAACATAGTCTATGTGCAAGAAATCGCTAATACTTGATTTCTCTATCTGTTTGTAACAGGAAGCAAGGATTAAGGTGTGTTTCTTGTTGATTCACAATTTTGGTCTAATTCCTGATTCATTAGCTTTATAATATAAATGCATCTGTTCCTTTCTCTTAATTATCACTCTCTCTAAATTACAGACTGCAGTTTTCATAGGGTGCTTTAGTACTAAAGTTTTTATATATAAATCTAGCAACCAAAAACATTGACCTAAGAAAAACTTTAGGGTTTAGTATTGATCAATGTTAACTTTCATAACCAATAATTAATATTCAAATTTTTAAAGTTTTCTTTTGATTGTTGTATATAGGAAATTAGAAAGAAACTGAGTCTTTCTTTTTTTGTATATATATTTATAGGGACATTTGCATAATTCTTTCTATTTTTACGTTCATCTTTTCTTTGTATTTGTTGTGCTCATCTCTAATTTGACTCAAATGAGTGATGGTGGGCTGAAATTGTACGTGAGTCTGAAGTCTGCAAAATGCCAAATAAAAGGGACGTTTGATATCCTAGCTGCACTGCATCTGCATGCAACTCATTTTGGTAAGCAATGTGGACATGGTCAACACATCCAGCTTCACGCTTAATTGTTTAAGGATCAAAGCCCTAATGTGATCGTTGTGGAAGATGGTGATTTCATTTGGGCTAGAGGGCCAAGACATAAGCCCATTGTTGGACCACAAGTCCAGTGTAATTTTTGCAGAAAACCTGACGATTTTGGGTTTGGTAGATGGTTTTAGGATAAACTTCATATACCAATCACTCGCAAATCAACACGTGTATATGTAAACTCTGATATTTCGAGTTTGTAAGAGTTCGAACTTATAATGTATGAGTTTATGGCTTGTGTCATGCTCACCCTTTGTCATTGAGCCACTTGTTCGAGTTGACAATATTAAAATACATAAAACAAGCCAATTCCATGTCACTTTGCGTGTGAGGAAATCTCATCTTCTTGTAATTTAGATAATCGCCTGCTTTCAAACAAAAAAACACACAAAACAAGATTGAATCCTCCCCCTCCATTCGATACAAATGTGAAAGGTCAAGAATAAATAATATTAAATCATTCACCATGAACGAATAAACCAACAAATGAAACCAATAAAATAATAATAATACTTATTACAAGGGCCATAGGATGAGAAGACTTGATTAAAGAACGCAGCGATGCAATGATAATAGTTGTTACATGATAGCATTTTTTTATTTCTCTGGTCAATAATGTAATTATATATAGGATAATTTTTTCACGTATTATTGTGTTATTAGCCGAAAATAACAAAGTAGTATTATTCCCAAGTGAGTGTTTTTGCATAGGATGAGAAGACTTTGATTAAACTTTGGCTGGTTTGGTTTGGGTTTCACTTCTTCACATAAACTGGCGGCTGTGGTTCTCTTAACAATCGCCATTCAAGGACTTTGTCACCAACGAACAAGAACATGCGCCGGTCAAGCATTTGGCTTTCGAATCTAAGATGTCAGGACGTGGAGCCAAGCCAACCAGACTTTCTTTTTCTTCTTCATTAAACAATATATATTATTATTATTATTATTATATCAATTTATGGAACTTTACTAAATCGATTATAGACCCCAAAAAAAAAAATCGTTTGATAACTATTTTAAAAAAATTAAAGAAATTTTATGTGCCACTTTAACACTCACTATGAATTTGAGTCCCGGTACGTTTTATTATCTTCATTCTCAGCTCTAAAATAATTTTATTCTAATAACATAAACCAAATGCAAAGTTAACTTGCAAAATGTTATATAAAAAATAACTATGGACAATTATGTTTTAGTTAATAATATAGGGATTAGATATTTTATACGAGCGATATTAGGAGAGGAAACCTCGGATGCTCTTAATTACCCTAATATATGTACTAAAAATGTGTAGATGAAATTAATGTAGTCAAACTCAACTGCCCTCGTGGACATGTGAATTCATGTATGTGGCACTCTAAGCTCTCTCTATCTGTGCCAACTCTAAAAGAAGCTTCGGCTGATTCTGTGTATAGATTCAACATTAGGTACGCGCCAGAAGATTTTATCAAACGCGGACTGTGCATGGTGATCTAGAAAGAAAACGAGGATATAAACAATTCGAGTAGATTAAATTGTAAACATATCCCTTATGTTTGACACAGCTTAGACAAACGTCACAAGGCTTTAGACAAAAATTTGCATCGATCGATCCCTTTAATAATTTCCAAATTGTGACAGAAGAAGGTGTTGGGAAAATGCTTTCACACACACATGGTGAAATTCAGAAACCAATCTCATTGGTGGATCAAAAAAAATATTGTATATTTACCTTGTGAAGAGATGTGGGGATCAAGAAAAATATGGAAAATGGAAGAAAAGGACACTCTGCCTTCCCCCTTGACTCTTATTAAATTCTTATGTACAACTAATTAAAGCATATAATCAGTCCATCCATCCTCCTTGAGTCATGGGTGGACTTTGACCACTACTTTTCTAACCAGCTCCCTCTCCTTTTTCCCTTGCCCGGCTGCTTCTCTCTCTCTCTCTCTCTCTCTCTCTCTCTCGCTCTCTCTCGCTTACTGGTACCACTACTTTTCAAGTTGTCCTCCTTCCTACTTTTCAAGTTCTCACTAAACCAGAAACAAATATTTCCCTCTCTCTCTCTCTCCCCCTTGCTTACTAGTACTACTACTTTTCAAGTTGTCCTCCTTCCTACTTTTCAATTTTCCACTAACCAGAAACAAATATTTCCCTCTCTCATCAAGTGCCCACCTCTTCTCTTATTGTTTCATCAGTTTCTGCGCTCACCAGTATGAATGGTTTCTTTTAATATTCTTGATATCCCTACTTTTCAAATCTCTCTCATCTCTCTGCCAGCTTCTTTCATAGTTAAAGGTACCAACCCCACATCACCTTCTGTACATACACACCATTGCCATTCTGATTCTGATCACAGATCCTTAATTTCCCCATAGATATATATATGTGTGTTTCCAAAGCTACCACCTTTATAGTCAAGACCTTTCTCATTCTTTCTAGATCATCGTGGTGTTCTGCATATTATTCAAAATGAAATAAGGAGGACAAATGTTGGGTAGGGCCAGAGACTCATAGCCAGCTAGTCTTCTCAAATGACATAAAGGTCGGCTGTTGCAGTGTAGCTAGGGAGATCCAGAGGGATTGGATCTCCTATAGCCTGCAGCAACAATTTTATCAAACACTTTGTACATGGACACTGCCTTCCAGCTCGATGAAGGCTCTCGCGCCAGTTTTCTTAGACTCATCATGCAGTCTTTTGGCTGCTTCTACATCTGCTTATGGTCTTATATGCCCCCTCCTTCTAAGTATGCATCATCAAAACCTCTCTCTCTCTCTCTCTCTCTCTCTCTCTCTCTCTCTGTATAAATGCGGCCACTATAGCTCATACATATTTTATATATGCATGCAGCTGCTTATTCTTTCTTGATGGTGTCTATGATGAAGAAAATCAACCAAGCTCTTCTTCTGGGAATCAGGCTCGGAGGCTTTTTGATGAGTATCGGCAATCAATATTCAATGTTGTCGAAAATGAGTAAGACAGACAGTACTAGAACTACTTTGTAATTAAATTTTGCTAGCTAGATATATAGCAAGTCCAATTAAACCAGCGACATTAGCTTCCAATGTGTATGTATATTGCTCTCATAAGTGTTTTTTTCTGCATTTATGTATATGATCAGATGTGTTCCAGGATTCGCTTTCAGGAATAGTCTTCCGAATCTAGAATTGCAAGAAATTGACCTACAAAGACTGGCATCAAGCAGTGTACAGAGGCAATTTTATCAGGTAAAATTACTATTGTTGATGATAAATATAATTCAAAAATAAAATACATTTACATACATTTTACATGCTAATACTTGATTCCTTATCTGTTTGTAACAGGAAGCAAGGATTAAGGTATTTTTCTTGTTGAATCACAATTTTGGTCTAATTTTCTGATTCATGAGCCATAGTTTTATAATATATAAATGCAGATGTTCCTTTCTCTTAATTATCAATTTTCCCTCTAAATTACAGACTGCGGTTTTCATGGGGTGCAAGAGTGGAGAGATTGAGCTTGGCCTCTCCAATGTGCCTCAAGTAAGAAAACCACAAACAATTCTCACCCTGCAAATCAATAAACTAAGCTTGTATGCTAATAAACTAATCCAATTGTTTTTGTTTAATTTCCAGATAAACATAAAAAGGGAACTGATGAGAAACTGGTTGCCAGAAGCTTTCACCAGACAATTATCTCCACATACAGCAGTTGCCAACAGGCCAAATAATCCTGATCAGCAAAACCCACTTTCATCCTCCTCCTCATCTTTTAGATCACTGTCCACCATGGATAGCCCTGAATATTCCTCCATCCTCTTCAACATTCCAACCACCACCACTACTTCTCACATTAATATCCCAGAAGTCTTTACACAACCAGCTCCTAATCCATTGCAACCTATTAATATTGTTACTTCATTAGAACCAATGCCACCTTTAAATATCATTAGTAGTTCCATTACTAGTCCTCATCAACAAGCCTTGCAAGCATTTTCTCGAATACGAAACACCCAATTCCCTAACCCTGAGATCGAAGATGCCGCGATGACAAGAGCCATCCTTGCAGTTCTATCTGCTTCTCCTTCTTCTTCTTCTTCACATCAGCCACCCCCACAAACTAATGTTCCACCTTCTTCTTCTACTGCTCACTTTCTCACTCCAAAGACAAGTGCTTTCAAGACTTACAATTCCTCACCTTTAGCCCCAAGAACGCCGAAGAGCGCTAATGTACGCAAGCAAATCATGCTCAAGAGATCCATTTCCTTCTTGAGAAGTTTGAATCTAATGAGACTTCGCGAAGGTATCCAAGCTACTCGCCCCACTAGCAGTCAGCTTCATCACATGATATCGGAGCGTAAAAGGCGTGAGAAACTCAACGAAAGCTTTCATACATTGAAATCACTACTTCCTCCAGGAACCAAGGTATATGTATGCATACACTTTTTTGTTTGAACACATATTAGGCGAGTTTAAGGCTTAGGGTTTCGCTCTCGGGTTTTAAGTATTAATGATTAGGCTTTTATTATAAATGTAGAAAGATAAAGCATCGGTGCTTACAACTGCAAGGGAGTACTTGATTAGTTTGAGAGCTCAAGTTGCTGAGCTTAGTAAAAGAAACCAACAGTTGGAGGCAAGGCTTCCTCCAGCTGCCAAAGAAGCTTATAATGAAGAAGCAGCAGCTGCAGCAGGCTCCTCAAATGAAAGAGTTAGTGTTACGCTTACACGAGTAGCATCCGAATCAACCCCAGATCAAGATCAGCAAATTTTTGACTTGCAAGTGGTTCTGAGATCAGTAGAATGCTGCACTGAAGATATGGTGATTCGAATATTGGAATTCTTAAAGCGGGTTAACAATGTAAGCTTGATGTCCATGGAAGCCAATACTTGGATGTCAGGATCTGATTCTAACGTCAACCGCGTAATCTTGAGATTAAGAGTTGATCAGGTATGTAATTAATACAACTACGTACTTATTGATTTTTTTTAATTTCTCAATTTCATACAACTATATTGTTCCCTTCTACTGAAGCATGTGTGAAGGTAATTGACCTAGCAATCACCATAGTATTAAAATTTTAATATATACATCTAGCAGCCAAAAACGATGACCTAACAAAAACTTTAGGAGGTATGACTCGGTTGAGCTTTTCCACCTTTACTCATGTGGGAAGAGGTTTGAAACCCCCTCTCCAAATCACTTGTACTAAAAATTAAAAAAAATTAAAAACTTTAGGGTTTAGTATTGATCAATGTTAACTTTCATAACCAATAATTAATAATATTCAAATTTAAGTTTTCTTTTGGTTGTTAGCTTGTTATATATTTAATGAAACAAAATTAGAATTATTAGTCTATATATATATATATATAGGAAATTAGAAAGAAACTGAGTAAATATTAATTATTTATTTTGTTGTTTATAATTTTGTAGGGGACCGAATGGGACGAGGCTGCCTTCCAGGAAGCAGTGAGAAGGGTGGTTGCTGACTTGGCATTGAATAATTGCAGCAATCCATGACTTCTTTCTGCAGGGTGGTTCCAATACATATAGCTAGGACTAGACTAGTCAAGATTTTGATATATGCATGGATGGATGCCCCTTCTACTTTTGGCCATGGATGCCTTCAAATTTTGACCCTATCACACATCATCACCATCCATTCCATTCATATTTTGTGCCTCATTTGTACAATTTTAATAACTGCTTCTTTGCGTGCATCCATTAGTGTAAGAGTCCATTAGTGTAGGAGTTTGGAGCAATTGCTTCTTTACAAAGCATCCATTAATGTAATAGTTTAGAGCAATTGCTTCTTCAGGAAAGGTTCTAAGTTCGAGTGATCAGAAAAGTAACTAATGAAATAGAAGAATATATAGAAATTATTGTATTAATCTATTAGTTATATAAATATTTATGGGAAGGAAGTAGCCATGAATGGACTTGTTGGGACATCCATCCACCAACGCAAGTTGGGGTGAGTCAAGCCCACCAAATAAAAGTCCTTGTTTTATCTTTCTTCCCTTGTAGGGGTCTTATGTGGGTTCCTACGTCAATTTTGTTTCTTGTACGAAATGATGTGTTGCCCAAATTGACTGCAAATAGGAAGAAACCATGAAAGCAACCGCCATGAAAGAACAAACACCAACAACTGTTTAAAGAGTTGATTGATACAAAGTTAGAACAACACATGTATTCAAAATCTTGGTCCGACATCAAAAATTCACTTTTTCAATGTTTTCTCCAAAACCACAATAATAACATATGCCATGTCATGCAGGGTGTTTAAGGTTGAGGTTGAGATTGCGGTTGGGTTCATGTATCGCATAATATTAATATTAATCTAGCCTAGAGATTATATTAAAATCCCATTTGTCTTTGGTCCTTTTGTTGGGCAACAATATCATCTGTCTTGAAATTTCAAGGTCAGTCAATCACTTTTCTACACAGGAATCAGTAAAGCCCTTCGAGACGGCGGTTTTGACTTTTCTATATATAAATATAAGAATATGAACCTTTCAAGAGTTGAAGTGCTCCACCTAATGGGGTAAGCAAACTCACCCGCAGGTCACAAGTTGGTCAAATTCATTCATCCAACAGGTTCTGGGCAAGGGCTCTAGCTGCCCATTTTGTATATTTCCGGTACCACTGCCACTTGGAAATTGGAAGTTGGAAGCTTTCCTTTCCAAGATTCTGGATAGTGTAGGCAAGTTGGGAGGGATCGGAATTATGTATACTAAGATCTGCTTGACTTTTATTCTCTATATGCCACCTTGATTAAATATAATGCGATGACTAAAAGATTATGCCACCTCAATTAAATATAATGCGATGACTAAAAGTTCGACACCACAACACTACCAAAAAATAAAATAAACAAGCAAAACGAAGTAAATGTTTTCTGTTTGTTGATGGTATTTCTTCTTGGATCATCTGATGGGTAAATGCTATAGGGTGTATGATAAGCCTCCGCACGTCTTCATCATCAGCTCAACAATATATTAAATCTCTTCTGGTAAACAAAATTGATATATAACATTGACAACGCTGAAATAGAAACCGTAGCTCAACATGTAATAACAAGCTAGGGTGAACCTGGAAATTTGAAAACCGACCCTGCATCCTCCCAAAATTGCCCCCTTCGAACCCGCAAAATTTCACTACACCCATAGTGATTACTGATTAACAAATAATATTAATTTACAAGGACAGCAAGTGATTCTGAACGGCTTCCTCGACAGTTCCAACTTTCCAGCTGATGCGCTGGTGATGTCCCCGTAAAGCATTGAAGCCCCCAGGAAAAACAAGTAAAACTAAAACTCTGCAGCTTGAGGCCATCTGAACACTTACGTTCCGACTGCCGTAACTGCATCTTCATCAGTAGAATCAGGTGAAACAATTTCCTCCATGGGTTCTGTTTCTGCTTCATTGTCTGTCACAACATCTACTAGCTTCTCCCTAAGCTTTGTTGTAAGTTCTTCCATAGCAGTGTTATTCTCGGCCAAAAACCTTTTCAGAGCATCCTTGCCATGGAAATTTTGACCATTTAAATTATAATGTGAACCAGACTTTGTGACGAATTTGTTTTTCACTCCCAATTCTATGATCTCTGATTCGCGACATATACCCTTACCAAACTCCAGCTCTATTTGAACAGTTCTGAATGGAGGAGCAAGTTTGTTCTTCACTATCTTCACTTGAACTTGACTTCCTAAAGTCTGCATAGCAAATTAATTTCTTTCAAAAGGATGCATAACCATAGCATCTAATCCTCCAATCCAAAGGGGCAAAAAAACAAAGAACGGATAACAATGTAAGCCATATTACTCAGATTCAGGTTATTCTTCAGGGTCTCATTAAATGGTATTCAAGACCAATTCAAAGTTCTAATTCAGGGGTAATGGCTACCAGGGAAATTACTTCTGTCCACAAATAAAGTTCTAATTCATGGGCACGATAGACAGATGGTTTTGTACCTACCTCTTCACCCTTCTTGATAAGCCCTATTCTCCTAATATTAAGTCGCACTGAAGCATAAAACTTTAAAGCATTGCCGCCACAAGGAACTTCAGTTGGCCCACCAAATCCTCCAAAAGTAGAAATCTTCGACCTCACCTGAAGATAAACACAATCAATTGCAGAAGTCTGACCTTTGAACAAATATCCACATCTTTCAATGAGATTGAGAATATCAGATTATTATATCAACAATACAAAAGCCACCAAATTCAGAAAGTAGTTCAGGATAGACTATGTACAAAAAGTTAAACCATACAAGTCAAAGTGAAACTACATAACAGAATTGTATTCAAATTGTATCAGAAATGAAACACACTAATACCTGATTTGTAAAGATTAATATTGTCTGCGATAGAGACAAGGAGTGACTCAATTTGCGAAGCGCCTGGCTCATTAATCTAGCCTGCATAGCCATATGAGCATCACCCATCTCACCATCAAGTTCACTTTTAGGCACAAGGGCAGCCACCTGTCATCATATGAAAACCATTCATCCACCCAGACAAGCTACCGTGCAATGTAAAAGACAAAAATCTGGCTGTAAAAGTACAATCTATAAAAGCCTCTTGAGATGATATGATGGGGAAAACATTCAATGAGAACCAAAACCAAAGAGGTTTTGTACGAACACATGAAGCATGCTTAATTTGCAATGGAAAAGTCGACATGGATAGTTTACCATGACAATATAATGTTACTGAAAAGCACCTTACTTACACTGTCAACAACTACAACATCAACTGAACCACTCCGGATTAGAGTGTCTACAAGACTAAGGGCTTGCTCACCGCAATCAGGTTGCGAGAGAAGTAGATTCTCAGTGTTTACCCCAATAGCCTGAGCCAGTGAAGGATCAAGGGCATGCTCAGCATCAACAAAAACACAGTACCCTGCATAAAGTTGCATAAAACAAGGAACTCAATATCATAACAGCAGCCAAAAGAAAACACTTTAGCATCAACAGGGTAACTCAAGATCATGAACAAATCTAAATTTTACCACACCAGCATTAGAACTTAATTGATATTTAGGTATCTCCTATATGGATCAAATAAAAACTTTTTACAGGGTACAACTGTTCTAACTCCAAGAAACTCAGGAGATGATCAGGAAACACAATTTAGATGTGTGCGTGGTAGTACCGTGTTCACATAGAATAAACAACTGAAAGAAAGAACGAAAAAGAAAGAGGTATTTTTCACATACAATAGCCATACCATGTTCTATATATGATGTGCAAAATGTTAATGTACCACCAAATTATAGTAATAAATTCCATAGTCTAACCTCCTTGCTTCTGTGCTTGGGCTATTACATGCAGAGCAAGAGTAGTTTTCCCAGAAGCCTCAGGACCAAATATCTCCACAACACGTCCCTACAGAAATTCAAAGAATGAATATCACAAGCAGCTAATACATATTCAAAAGTGATGTATAAGGTCAAATCTGTGCATCTAGCAGCCTATGCACAAAAACACTCATGTGTGATCAAGACAACAAATGACCAGTAATAATGACCCTAAACATTCAACTGATTATGTTTTGCATAATACCTTCGGAAATCCACCAGTTCCCAGTGCTAAATCCAGAGCAAAAGAACCCGTGGATACCACGGGGACCTGTCGAGGAGAGGCGGACCGACCAAGCCACATTATAGATCCCTTTCCAAATGAGGATGTGATCTGATCCAAGGCTTGCTGCAGGGCTAAATCTTTCTTGGACATATTCTCTTCATTGGAGTCACTTCCATCTGACTTAGATTTCTTTCTGCCTTCAGAGACCAATTCACATTTTTTTAAATCATAAGGCGCACAAAGTGTCTCAGAAAAATAAACAAATAACATATACTAACATTTCCTAAACAAAGTTATCGAAGAAATCAAAAAACGGAAAAACTTGAAGCAATCACCTTTAGAAGAAAAATTGCAAAGCTGAGTAGATGGCCCCAATATTCCTCTCCGATGTACCTGCAAAACAAAAACAAAAAATTAGATGCACGAACCTCTAAGGGTATAACTCTGTTTTAACTTTCTGTATCCGAATAAATAAACCATTTGCGATTCAGACACTGTTTTCCCAACTTTCACAGCGACCAAACAGACAACTAAAAATGCACAAAATGAAGAAATGGCAAACCTGTGGTGGGAATAGAAAACGTTTCATAGAAAGAGCGTTTCGGAGAAGCCTTGCCATAGGCAACAACCTCCAAGTTTCCAAGCCTCCACAGCCCAGCTTCTCCAGAATCAAATAAGAGAAGAGCAAAGCAAGGCAAAACCTAGCCTAAAAAGCAATTTAGAAAAATTTGTGGGTTTTAGGGTTTTGGGTTTGTTTTCCCTCCTTTTTGAATGCTGAGTATCGCAGAGTGAAGAGCTGACTGTTCGGGCTTTCGACTTTTCGTTCTATTAATTTAGGATTGGGAATTTACACGTCGGATATTACGAGGGAGATGAGAGCCCCCCTATTGTAAATAAATACGACGGGCTTTTTCCTACATTCTCACCCTATAACAAATTATTATCGTATATTTCTTTTTTTTCTTTTTTCTTTTGTAATGAATTATTTATACTAACACCCTGAGGTTTCTTCTGTTTTAAAAAAAAAAAAAACATTCAATAATTACATGAACACCCTCTGAGGTTTTAGTTTATTTCACAAAATCAATTTTCGTTGATTGTTTGTCCAAAAATTGATGATTTTATTGAAAAAACTTATTCAAATGACAAAATTAACCTCAGTGAAGTATATGCAATCTAATCTTAAAGGCCAACTTTGTCATTTGGAGAATTTTTTTTTGTATAAAATCAGTAATCTTTGGATGAAAAATCAATTAAAATGAGTTTTGTGAGAACAATTTAAAACCTCAAACATTGTTCGTATAAGAGATTTTGTGAAAAAGCTAAAACCTCAAGGGGTGTTAGTTTAAATAACTCTTTTTTCACAAATATTATTTGTTACTTTAAAAACCACTCTTAGGTATTTTTCTTTTTCATCTTTCTCTTTGAATTTTATTTTTTCAAATAATTATTGAATAAATGTCAATTTAGGCTCTTTTTGGAGTAAATCAATTTATAGAATTTTTGGGGTACACGTTCAATTGAGACTATTTGTAGGAATTGAAAAGACTGAATTAGACACGTTATATGATACGTGTTCTTCGTTTCCATTAAAATGTCGTTGCATTAAACTTGCAGCTTGCGGGCCAGCCACTAAACAATCAGGCTAAAAAGCCACGTCTTATAATTTACCAACTCAAGAAAAAAGGCTCCATATAAAAAATATAAAAAAAAACTCAAGAAAGAAGGAAAAAATCAATTGAGATAAAAGGACCAAAAAAAATTACACATACCATTAATAGGGTACTAAAAACGTTGTCCATCAAATACCAACAAATCACAATGCCATCCAAACCATATTTTTTATCACATCCCCTCTAGACCAACTTAAGGTAAAAATAAAAGGAGAACCACTCCCACTATCACTCATCATACAGAGGTAAAAATATATTGATCATACAAAAATGACCAGCCACCATTTTCTATCAAAACAGTCTGAAGGTCCAATGAGAACGCTCAGCTACTCAACCCGCCCTTCGGAAACAATCATATTCTACTGCTGTTTGCATTCTGGAGGCCGCTCGCCCTGCTGACCGTCCGCAAGTTGTGCTCTTCCACTCTTCTGCATTACATAACACGAGCGATCAGGACACGGAAACGAAAAGTTGATTTTAGACAAAACAAGTTGAAGATGTGGGATCAATAAACAAATTTAAGGCAAGCCAGTATTTTCAACATTTGTTTCTTCTTGGAGGGGGCGCTGTAAATCTGGCGAAAATATATGAAAAAAAGGAAATACCTTGTGAGCAGCTGATGTCTGCAACAGAATTCCGTAAATTTGACAGAAAAACAAGCATCATTTCAGACTTTGAAATAATTAAAAAGGAAGAGATAGTTAATCCAAATTTGAAAAATACTACACCTTCTTTTTGGTTTTGCCTTCATCATCATCTTCATCGTCTTCATCATCATCTTCGTCCTCATCTTCATCCTCATCATCCTCATCATCATCTTCATCTTCAATGTCATCGTCTTCATCATCTTCCAAGTCTCCAAAATCATCTCCCTGGATAGCTTCTCCCGTAAACCATGAAACAGCATGGGGGATGATCTTATCTCGAATGGTAGACCTACAAAATAATGATGCCAATAGCAGAAGAAAAAAATTAAACAAAGTTACTCAATTACAAAATTCCCAAAAACATCTAGCAGTAGCAGAGAGTTCAGAAATCTGTCAATGGATAGAAAAAAGTATGAACTCACCCAATGTCATAATCCTGTTCCATCTGGTTTTGGAGTTCCTCAGCCTGTTGATAAAAGGGAATGAATAAGACACCACAAAAGGCCAAAAGTCGTTAAAGGAAACAAAAATTAAAGAAGACCGTCTCTTACAGCATCTTCCTCAATATCTTCGTCATCCTCAGGAACTTGAGGTGGACTAAAAAAGTTGAAGAAGCTTTCGCAATTCTCAGTTCTAGTGATTGGCTTAGCATTCTTAGATCCCTTCTTAGGCTTCTTCTTAAGGAGCTTCTGTGTCAAACATTTTGCCGGATACCATTCAATCTCCGTCCTACAAAGCACCAAGTAAAACCCAAATGTAAAATAAAGTCAAACTGCCATGCACATGACTTCTTGGTAACATAAGTATAAAATAAGGAACTAAACTATTTAGCATAAAGGCAGTGTAGGAACCAAACTTACCCTATTGCTTTCTCAAGAATGGGTTCGTCTTCATCTATCATGTGATATATCTTTGTCAAGACAGAGTTCTTAAAGAAGGGGTTGGTGTCAAAGTAGAACTCAAGTTTGAACCCCTTGGGATTGTCTATCCTAAACCACTTGATGTCCCTAAGATATTTAAGGGCCCCTTCATCACGCTCAGTAATCTGATATCAAAGGATAAGAAGAAACAGTTTATTTGACATACAGCAACACAACTTCATAAATGAGAAACATTATGCACAAATGACAACCTCCTCAGCTAGCACTTCATTGTTTTTCATTGCATTGAGCCAGAAATCAGGCACTCCTTTCTCTGTAAAAATGCAAAAGCAAAGTCCAGAAACTAATAAGTTTCACACATTAAATAAAAACTTATATTGGTCCTGCAAAACTATCAAGAGTGTACCCTCAGCAGCGTTTGCTGCTTCAGTAGTAGCTCCTTCAGCTTCCACAACACCATTTACGATCTCGTATCTCTGTCAAGTGATCAGTACAATATATTTTAAAACCAAGGACATGCAAAGAAATGACAATAAGCAAACAGCATCCATAATGCAATAAACGAGCACACACTAACACAGGCCAGGGGTGCCACCGCTACCTTGCTTAGGTAGACTAGTGGTAAGCCACTAAACCACCTAGCCTTATGTGCTATGTAAAACATACCTTGCTATACAAAGGCTGGTACAATTTCTGATACTTGGCTTCCAGGGCTGCTCTCTCCTCAAAAAACTTTGCTTCTAATTCATCATGTTGGGTCTGCAAGTTGAGAAAGGCTCAGCGTGTTTCACACGTCCAAATAATATGCACACCTTCTTTCATTTTTCGTCAAATAATACTAAGAGAGCGATCAACAAGTTCCATTCAACAAATAACACCACCACTTGATGACAAATTGACTCCAATCATTTTGTCAATTACAATGAATATTTTGCAAATTCTAAGAGAACCCCCAACTCAAACTCAAAAAGTAAAATATACACCAGAAACCCGTCATATCAATCAGAAGTCAGAACTATTGTTACCAAATAAACTTATAAATGAAATAAGAGTGTAATATAATCAATCAATGAACCAAAAGACAAAAAACAAATATCAGCCAAACAAAGACTTAGACCAGCAAAGTACAGCACCAAACTACATGCTTCAGAGTGAGAGAGAATCATGCCTGGATTTCTCTAAGAACATCAACACGCTTTCTGACTACAGGAGAGAGACTCTCGAGGATATCAGAGTGCTGCCCGGCCAAACTCTGTATCTTATTCTGCGAAGACACAAAAAACCCAAACTCTATCAGCCAAACAAAGGCTTAAACCCCCAAAAAAAAAAACACTCAAATAAAAAACAAATATCGATACATAAAATTGAAAAATTAACGAGTCTAACGGTGACTGGGGATAAAGCACTGACCTTGAGAGCGTTAACGAGGCCTGCTCGATCCTCTTCGTTCAGAGCTGCAGAGACAAAAATGAAAAGCAGTATAAGATCACCGCATCAGATTACCAAGCATGAGAAACAAAGAGAAAGAGATAGAGAAAGAGTACCACCAGCGGCGAGATCAGACATGTTCATGCTATCCTTGTCGTTGCTCATTGTGATTGCAGAGGGAGAGAGGGGGAGATAGAAGAAGGCGGCAAAGCTAAAACCCTAGAAGCGGTGAGGGGGGAGGCAAAGTGTAAAGAGAGCTTTCAAAACGTGGCCTCCGTTTAATCCTTTGCTCCCTCTTTTTAAACCCTAACACCTCTCTCTCTCTCTCTCTCTCTCTCTCTCTCTCTCTCCTTATTATTATGGATGGTAGTGGTACACTGTGATGCGCTGTCCCATATTTTTTAAAATTAATTTCTACATTTTTCATAATTGATTTTTTAAATCTTTGGGCACGGTTGAAACTTGAGAAGGGCCGGTGTGATGAAATGGATCTCTAAACAAAATGGATACATGTGGCTAGTTTTTTTGTGGTCAAAAATAAATTTGCCCATATGTTTTCTATTTATTCAAGGATTTTCATGTAATAAATTTGATCTCGTGAGCTCTTTCAATAAGAATTATATCTCAAATTTGAGATTGTTGGAGAGCTTTATGGATTTGCATTTGATTTTCTAGTGGTTTGTGGAGGTATTTAATTCGCGGGTAATGATGGTTCGCGGGAAGAGATGATTCGCGGGAAAAAGGTGGTTGCGTGAAAGGGGCTTGAGAACGATAAATTATTTCATTTTCCATGTTTAGTAAGTCCATATTTGGAAAAAGGTTTCTTACCTCATGTGAAAATACGGGGGAAAATAAAACCCTCCATCCATTTTGTGTTTCATTTTTGTTTTCCATGGGAAATCATGGTAAGTTTTTTATGATCAATTTACCCCCATTAAAAAATAACCAAATCAATGAAACTTCTTTTTTTTTCTAATTTAAGGGTATAGTATAATGGAAAGTCTAAACAATTTTTATTTCCAATTGATAACCAACCAAACCAAACATTGGTAATGATATATTACTTTCTAAGTATTAACAAACATGAAAAATGAATCTCCAGTTTTTTTCCACAACCTATGTGGACCACACAAAAAACCCTATGTGTACACTTGTTTAGGTTCATGTAAAAGTTATCAGTATTGGTCTTTGAATTGTATTTTAGAGGTATTTAGTTCGTGTGAAGAGGTGATTTGCATTAAAAGATGATTCGCATGGAAAAATGAGTTACGGTGACAGGGGCTTGGGAATGGAAAATTATTTAATTTCTTATTTGTTTGTTAAGTCCATATTGGGGAAAAGGTTTTGTAGCTAATGTGAAAATGAGGAGGGAAATGAAACCGTCCATCCAACTTGTGTTTCATTTTCCCTTTCGATGGAAATCAAGGACCAAGGTACATTAATTAAGTTTTATATGATCAATTTACCCTAATTAAAAATTGAATAAATAAAGGAAAACAATAATTATTTTTTTTATAACTTAACGGTATAATTGAAAAACTAAACCAATTTTATTTCCAATTCATAACCAACATAATAACATAATATAGGTAAGGAAATAAAAAGATATTTTTCAATTACTCTCTTTACTTTCCAAGTATTACCAAACATGGAAAATGAATCTCCATTTCTTAGAGCATCCATAGGTGGGGGGTGTATATGAGGGTGTATGTTAAATATACACTCCGAGTCATCGGAATCGTCTCTAATGAAGAGATGTAAATGGATGTAAATATACATCACCACCATGGGGATGTAAAATAAAATATATATTTACATCTATTTTTACATCCCTTGCGAGAAAATATAAGAAAAATGAAGAAAATTCAGCATAAAAGGGTGGGACCCACGACTACACCCCCAAATTTACAACCCCCACTGGAGCAAAAAACATATTTATACCCTCCGGATGTGTAAAGGAGATGTAAAAGTGACTTTACACCCCCGAATTTACACCCCCCACTGTGAATGCTCTTCTCCTTACAAAAAGACATAAAAACTTATTTTCATAAATTTATTTCCATGAACCGAACACAACTTGTGTGTGCACGTGTTTGAAACGTTATGAGTATCGGTTTACCATAGATTTCCACAATAATTTGTTTTGTAACGGGAGGAAAAATTGATCACCCCATGCAATTTCGTCGGCAAAAATGAATGTTAAAAAATGTTGACAATAGAGACCATTCAATTTCGAAATAGGGTGAGATATTTGGCTAGAAGCCAGGCTGCACAATCTGCTCCACATAACTAAAACGAACACTACATACATATAATATAAAAAATGAAAAACTGAAAATGACAACAATGATGATGATATGAGGTAATATCAGAACAAGCTGAAATTCATTCCATAAACAAAATAAAATCAGACATTCAATACAGTAGCTAGTAAATAGCACTTTCTTATGGCTACATGTGAGTTGAGTACTTGTTATCTCTTCACAAGCTGTTCAGAATTGACCGACACCAAGCTGCTTATCCTGCAATCCGATATGTAAGATTGTTTCTTGCATACCCCGTTGCCCTAAAACAGATACAAAAGATATTTAATTAAAAATGATCTTATAAATTTTGGATGAAGAGTTTCATGGAGTTCTTGCACTGTCTTAACCACCATTTTCAGTGCTTTCAGCATCTTTCACTTGATCACCATTAGCTGGCTTCTCAGGACTCAAAATTCTTCCACTCAAAGGATCTACAGGCCGTGTGTCACGTGGCCCACCCTTACGTCCCATTGCCACCATTGGCGGTGGAGGTAACAACCCTGCTCTGAAAAGAATGCGCTGCACAGGATCTGAGGGCTGAGCTCCGACAGATAGCCAATACCTGCAGAAAGCAGGAACAAAATTTGTGTGACACAATTGTTACACTTATTTGAAGACACAAGAAACTTTAGCGACTATTTATTACTCTAGCAAAATAAAACCAATAAAAATCTGCTATATCAATTGTTGTCCGGAGATTATGAAGTCATGCGCATCCTGTTAGAAACTCCGAGGTACAACAGAAGGCATTAATTGTCTCAATAAGCACACAGAATAGAATAAAAATCTTCTGGGATAGTTGTTTCAGCTTCCTCAAAATCTTAAAAGAGTTCCATTAATTAATTTCACCTTAAAGCATCCACATAATTAGAACAAGCAGAGAATCAAGTAAATCCATGATTGAAATTTATATTCCAGAAAACATGCAGTAATTTCCAAGAACAAAGTCACTTGATCAAAATATAATATAATTTTCCGTGAGAACACAGTATCCTTCTCTTTCCTAACATCAGGAGAATTTTTTTTTTTTTTTTTTTGGATGTAATCTTGGATTTTCATTCAAAAGGGTACAAAGACACCTACAGCAATTAGAAGAAACATAACTAAAACCAACAAGAGGAAAATACACTACAGCCAATTACAAAGCCTCGTACAGTATTTTCCTCCCATAGACAGACTAATTAAGGTGGACTGGGCAGTCCATCCGAAACCAAAACACGAACAAGGGACACAGACTAATTAACATCTGGAGATCAAGGGATCACATTTACGCACAGCCACCTTCCAGTTCTAGCATGAACATGAGATATTATACCATAAATAACCCTAACACTGAAAGATACAAAATCTAAACTTAACCGACAAATTAGTACATCTAAAGGCAATTCACCAACAATGAAACATGCAAAATGAAGCATTGAAAGTCACTTACTTCACTCTTTCAAAGTTTAGACCCATTCGTTTGCCACCATCTTGGCCTGTACAAAATCATACACATTGAAGACAATTTGCTTAGATATCAACTATTCTTGTTACCCAAATGAAAAATAAAAAAGAAAACTAATCCTTTTCTTTGGATATTCAGACTCAAAACGCGTTATCCTTCTGAATTTTTACCCAGCTTCACAGAAATTGCAATTTTGTTCAAAATTCATCAAATTCAGCTCTACCGATATGAAATGCTACATTTCTTTAGCTATCATTAACAAAACCCTAAGAAACCAAAAAAAAATTCTAACCACCCATACACAGAGAGAGAAGCGAGAGAAGACCTGGCAAGGGATTGTAGTAACCCAAGACTTCGAGGTGCTTGCCGTCTCTAGGAGATCGGCTATCGGCCGCCATGACCCGATAGAACGGCCTGTTTTTGCATCCAAACCTTGCCAATCGGATCCTCACCACCATTTTCTTAGCTTCACCAAAATGATCGCTCGGTCGGGAAAAACCAGTAACCTGAAACCAGTAACTCACTACACTATCTGCTTTCTAGGGTTTAAGGAACTGATCTGAATGTTATTTCGGGTCAAATTTAAAAACCTGTGCGGCCCAATATTACTAATAAACAGGTTTAGCCCAAGTTTTAGCCCGGCCCATGACCCGGCCCACCAAGTGCATGTTGAAGGCGGTTAGCGCCTACACGGGGGAAATCCTGAAAGTTTTTTCAACAGAAAAATAAAATAAAATCTGAAAGTTTCAGACTTTCAAAACCCCTTTATAGGGTTTCTGATTGGAAGAGAAGGAATTTGAATTTCTTGATATTTCTGGCAACAATGGAGGAAGCAAATATTGAAACCGGAAAACCCTCGCAAACTCTAATCGCTTTCCCTCCTCACTGTCGAAGACACCTCAAGAGCGGAACGTACCGTACCTTGGTTCGAATACTATCTCACTGCTACGACGAGTCGCAGCATTCAGCTGCCGATCAAAATGTACCTCAAGAGCTTAATCAAGGTAGATTAAATTTCCACAACTCAGTTTTTAGTTTTGTTTGGTTACTGAGAAACTCATTTTTCTTGTCATTAGGGTTGTTCAGTTGGCGATGGAAGTGAATTAGTAGCTTTCGAAAGTAAAAGTTTGATTTTTTTTTTTGTTTACTAAGATTATTTTGCTTCCAAATTTTTAAAGCACGCAGTAGCTAGCCACTTGCACTTGGAAGAGGTGCTATTGGAATGTTTAGTTTTAGTTTTAAAGTTTTGGTTTTTCTTTTTAAGTTGACAAATTTTAGTTATAATTGTGTTGTTTTTCCTAATTTTGATCTTCTTTATCCTGTATTAAGATAATGGCAGCATCGAACCAGTGCAAGCAACTGAAAAAGAAGAGCTGGAGAATGTTGAATTGGTTGGTCCTGGCAGTATGGAGCCTAAGAATTCGGCAGCTGAAGAAGTCGGAGTGGCTGATGAGAGTTGTAATCCTAATGATTTTCAGGAACAATTAGAGCAGATAAAGAGTATACTGAACGTGGAAGAAAATGAGGATTTTTCCAAACTGAACGAAGTGATGGACATCGAAAATAGCCTTGCAATTGATTTTCAAGATTTGGATTTCGATCCTGAGCAGATTCTGATGGATGAGCCAGAGCGGATGGAGAAAGGAAATGAAGACGACACTCATAGACCCTCAGCCACATCATTGGACCAGAACCAGAGTGGCAGTGATAAGGTTGCATTGTTGACTAACCAAGAAGAACATGATGCAACAGTGATATCTGAAAGGTCGGTTCAAATGGTTTCTGGAACACTTGATTCATCTTTACATACTGTCGCGATGGGTGAAAGTTCAAATCAAAGAGAATCTAATGAACAAAATTCCTTGTTGATGATTAACAGATTGGATGTAGAGCCTATAATGCAACAGAAAGCAATGGAACTGGAGACTTATGTATCTTCCGAAGGTGCAAAGGAATCTTTTATTCCCATTACTGAAGTTGGAGCGATTAAGGAGCCAGAAAACTTTAGTCAAAAGGTCCCTGACTCCTTTGATTTCTCTTTAAATAAGGATATGGTTGCTGAAGCTTCAAAGCCTGCTGAGTATAGCAAAGACAAAAGTTCTTCACGGGAAAATAATGATTTAGAAGTAGAACATGAAATGCAGCAAAAGGATAAGGAACTGGAGGAAATAGTTTGCACCAGAACGGCAATAAATTCTCCCAGCCATATGAGTGAAGATATTGAAGAGGGAGAAATTTCTAGTGACGATGGGATGGATGACAGATCGAATGATGTGCTTTTGCATGATACAGTAGTGTTGGAGGAAAAGAAAGTTCCGGAGTTGCAGATATTTAAAGATGTACTTGATAGAAAAGAGCACTCTTGTAAGGTAGCAAATGACAAAGATTTTGGCTCCAATTCCTTTCTGGTGGACATGGTTGACGAAGGCAAAATTGATAGAGGGGCGGAACTCAGAGAAAGTAGTAGAACTGAGATGATTTGTAGACCGGGGGTTGTTGAGGGTAAAAATGTGAAAGCCTTAAAGGTAGATGACGCTAATCCTTTGCTAGAGGGTGGAAGAATTGAAATGCAAGATAATGGAGTGAGGATGGGTATTGGATGTCCAGCTGCCGGAAACCATGGAATCACATCTGAAGAAAAGGTATTGTTTTCACTTGCATACTCCTTTTTTTTTTTTTCTCTTGAAGTGCATGCAAGTTGGTATTTATTTTTTTATTGTTGTAAACTCATACCATTATAGCTGTTTGAATCGTCCATTCTGTGATTTATCAATATACCACCATTCTCTAGAGTTTGTCCTCAATCCATCGAGTATATATATTTTTTTTTTGGGTAAACTGGAGGGGATAAACCCCGAAACCAACAGAAACTAAACAGAAGCAGGATAAACCAATCTAGCTTTCGAAAAGGGGATATCATCCAGAAGAAGATTCGTGATATTTTAATTATTTATTTGATCATCATGAAATTTTGATCATATGTTATGGTCTATTATTTATCATGTGCAGTGGGATGATGGTGCCTGTAATAAAAGAAAGCGTGGTCCTCCAACAAAGGAAAAGAAAGAAAAGAAAAAGGTATTAGTTTTTCCTAAAATTGCATTTCACTCCTACATTGTTCAGTTGGGTTTGTTGATGTTACTATCTCATTGTAAATTGTTTCAAAAAGTATATTATTGTGATATTCTTTGGAATTCATCCTGACATATCTAAAAAGTAATTGAGAATTTTTTCATTGTCAAAGTGTTCAGTTCATAAGGGCAACATTTTCTGTCTGCTTATAGAAATATCTCCTTTTGTGAACAATGCATTGTGCAGGCTAAAGAACGAAAGAAACGAGCGGAAAAGAACAGGGAACTTGGTGTTAAAAGGCTGAAACTGCATCCAATACAGAAAGCAAAAACTGTAGCATATTGCCGCCATTTTGTGAGGGGAAGATGCCATGAGGTTTGTATTGTGTTCTCAATTCTATTATTCTTGTTTCATCTCTATTGAATGTGTAACTTACCTAAATTTTCACTTTGGAAATCTCCTTGGACAGGGTGCATTGATATTGCTTATTGCAAAGTTAATACTCTGAAGTTTTTTTCCTCAAAACTATCTCTGTAGGGTTGCCAAAGCAATCCTTGCTTTTATTTTCTAAATAATTTTGGGGTGCCAATCATCTGGCATCTTTTGATTTCCTTCCCATATCCATCTCCTTATTGTTATACACTTTATCTTTGTTTCACAGGGTGACAAGTGCAAATTTTCACATGATACGGTGCCTTTAACAAAATCCAAGGTATGCTCACTGGACTGTGTTCGTAATACTTTCTCGTGACGCTAGTTGCTTCCTATTAATCGAAGGATATATTTAAGAGTGCTTTTTTACTGCTGCATTTGCTCGCCCAACCCCTTTTAATAAGATTTAAATTATAAATGCTATATAAGCTTTGTGATTGGTTTAATGCATTTTCGTTATTTTCTATTCTGGTGTTGCAGCCCTGCGTCCATTTTGCTCGTCAGTCATGCATGAAGGGTGATGACTGCCAATATGATCATGAGCTCTCCAAGTATCCCTGTAACAATTTTAAAGAAAATGGTTTCTGCAGCAGAGGTGATCGTTGTATGTTTTCACACAAGGTAAATTCTTGTCTGTATAAGATGCTAATTAGAGCCAGTTATAATGTAAAGCCTGCTTGGCAAGGTCTAGAATTACATTACATATGTTTAACTATCTGTCCTGAGTAGTTATCATTAGAGCTTACCTTGTTGATTTGCTATTAAAATAAGTTAAATCACTAATCAAGTTTACAATTTTCCTCAGATGCCATCCAATGAAGATAGTGCAACTGCTGCATGTAAACCTGAATTGAAGCCTCCTATGGTGCTGAATAATTCCAGATCTCAACACGTAAACACTGGTGGTGCCTCCCAGCAGAATGTCCATGCTTTGGCCAACTCAACGGGGATCCATTCTCACAATAATACTAAACAGAATGTGACACAGACTGTTTTGAAACAACCTGAACCAGCTAACAAAGGGATTAGCTTCCCCCCTATTCCGAAATCATCGTTGGTTCATTTCAGTATGTCTAAACAAGAAGGCTTAGCCCCAGATAGGAATAATGGTGCCAAAGCTGGGAACCAGATAGATCAAAGTCCATTAAGTTCTGTTCAAACTTCCACTGAGATTGTAAAGAGAATTCCACCAGTAACCACTCCTAAAGGAATAAATTTTTTATCATTTGGCAAGGCTTCACCAGATGATGCAAGGGGTAACAACCAAGTCAGCCGTCAGACAAGCCCAAGTTTGTCAGAGACTGTCAAAAACTTGAATGGGATGCTAAAGGCTAATCAATCGGCTGCACCACAGGGAACACACTTTAATCCTTTCGGGAAATCTTCGGTAGCTAGTTCTAGTAGTGAGAAACCAGTTAGCTTGCCTTCATTTTGGAATAATGGTAGCAATATTGATTCCTGTGAGAGTCAAACTACAGCTGATAAACCTCAAAATTCAAGCGGAATCTCGTTGAGGCTGCCACCTTCTCCACTTACTTCAGGTCAATCTTCAGATCTCATAGCATCCAGGTTTTGTAAAGATACAGCAAATTCATTCCAGAGGGGACTCTTTTCTACCCTAGCATTTGCAGCAAAGTATAAAACCCAAAACATGAACCAGTCAATTGGCTCTACTGGTGCTCAAGTTGATAAGGAAACTAGGAATAGCAGTATCAGTGACAGGTTTGCAGAATGATTCAGCAAAAGCTTTTAGAATTTTAGATTTCTCGCCCCTTATTGGTAGAAACATCAAGCAGTTTGCATGGTGTTAAACAGTGAATTGTGCCTTGGGCAGAATTGAGTGACAAGAAGGGTCCCCTTGCAACCAGAATCAAGATTGTTATTTGTTCAGTTTGGTCAAATACACCAGAAAAGGTACAAAGCTATAGGTGGCATCTTGCGTGCCCTTTGCCTGCACATGTAGTAAGTCCCTCACTCGTATAATTTCAGCAGCTGTCAGCAAAGTACAGTTTGCAGTTTTCTTGTTTACACTATTGTAAGTAATATTTCCTTATATTTCTTTAAGAGGCAGTTGTGAGTCTAACAGGTAAAGGCTAACTTTAATTCTTTTGTTTTATTTTATTTTTCAAAAGGAATTTATAGGAGTTTGATGGCTTCAATATAATGGATTTTGGTGACTGAGGATCTTCTTCATTGAATGAATTTCAGGCTGGCTAAACTTTTGTAACTGTAAATCAATTATACTCGATGGATACCAATCTCATGTGACTGCCATCTTAACCTTGTTCTTGTTGCTTTCATGCTCCCGTTTAGGAAAAAACCTAACTTTTTTACTGCCTTGTTATATGGAGGACAGATGTACTTGAATGCAACATTTGCATCCTTGTGTTCAGTGTGGAAATCCATCCACCTTCGTTGGCTGCCGGAATCGATCTTAGGTATTGGCTTTACTTACCAACTTGCAATGGATTACTTTAGGGCTACTCTGAACGTGGTTAGCAGATTGCAGGTTACTTGTAATAGCAAGCTTGTTGAGTCATATGCCCATTTGTATCCTTTCTTGCTACCTATTGAGAAGTTTGACAATTAGATTGAAAGCCAAAGATGTCACTACAACAAAAGCTGGGCTGTGATGCATTTCCATGTGCCAGAGAAAGCATTGGAATATTGTTGAAAAGCTTCAGACAATTACGGTATCAATGCACTAACTTATTATCTGCTCTCTGCTAATAATCCAAACTAGTCTTGGATCTGATGAAGGCTAGAAAGGATCTACATGTTGATGTTGTCTCCAATCCAGGAGTCAAATTTACATTATTTGTATTGTACCACACAATGAAATTACATCTCATATCGTACAGGCATTTCTGCAGTCCATGTGAATGAAATGAGTTGTGGACAAGTGGAGCCATTTTTGCCATCACGTTCGGTTAAAAACATTAAAGTTCAAGTGAAATGTCTTTAAATTTGTTGTTCCTGGTGAAATCTAATGATGTGAAGGCATCTAATAACATCTTTTGTTACTCCATCCATACCCCATGGGTACTATTTCACTATAATGCCAATAAATTAGCTGGCCGCACTTTTTACCTCTGTGGGTTCAAATCGGTGCCCCTTTTTAACTGGGGCCTAGAGGAGCTCGAGGACTCGTGTGAGTGGGCCTCTTAACGTAATGAGCAAGAGAACGAACTTACTGTCCTAATTAATGTCTACAATTACCATTAATTTTTAATCGAAAAACTCTCACAACCTATTGTTTAATCTACGAGATAATAATTGAACTTCGTACCTATGTGAAGTTCAATTAGATCACCCATCCTCTACAAACAGAAACAAATTAGATCATCCACATGCAGAGTTTCGGTGCAAATAATTTAAGCCCAAAAAAACCAAAATAAATAAATAAACAACGAAAAGAAATAACCACTAATAAAAAGCAGGTATAGAAATACATTTCGCTCCAAAATTATTTAAACCAACTTCAAAACCGATCGTCTACGTCATACTCTCCATACATTCAACACCCCATTAATCTTTTCTCTGTTTTTTCTCTTTCTTCCACTTTCCGACGATGACGACCTCTACGAAAAGCAACTTCATGCCTGCGAGCTTGGTCTCCAATCTTCAACAAGTACTCGCCCTCAAAAACGACGGCGTCCAGCAGCAACGGTCCTCCAACGCCTCTGAACTAAACAAAGTGTCTTCATCATGCTGCTCGAACAGCGAGGACGCCATTCAAGGCAAGGAGTGCGTAAAGCCGGTGGTTTTGGTCACAAATGGGGAGGGAATCGAGTCTCCTGGTCTCACATTTCTCGTCCAAGCTCTCGCTCTCGATGATCGCCTTGACGTCTACGTCTGCGCTCCTCAATTGTTAGTTTCTCTCTCTAGGAACACACCTTCTCATGTTTTTTCCTCCACTTTCTCACCAATCAAACAGACGGAGATCATTATAAAAAGCTTAATTTTTTGGGTGCTGCAGAGATAGATCAGTCGCCGGTCACTCTGTAACTGTTCGTGAGACAATTTCTGTGTCTTCTTCTCAAATCAACGGCGCCACCGCTTTTGAAGTCTCCGGTAATCTCTCTCTCTTTCACTGTACATATATGTATATAATCCGGAATTATATATTAATTATGTGATTATGGGCATAATCAATATCAGGAACGCCAGCAGATTGTGTGTCTTTAGCATTATCAGGGGCATTGTTCGCGTGGTCAAAGCCTGCTTTGGTATTATTGATCTCTAACTGTTTGATTTGAGGTTTGTTCAGATTGCTCCATCAATCAATGATCTTTCTTGATTTTCAGGTCGTCAGTGGAATAAACAGAGGATCAAGCTCTGGAAATAACACGTCAGTACTTCTTTCTTGCATTTCAGATTCAGATCTTTACTGGCGAAACGTGATTCTTCTCTGTAAAATTGGCAGCTTCTGATAGCTTTTTCAGTGACAGCTTTTTCATTGTCGTTCTAATAAAACGACAAACTTTTGCTCTACTTCAGTCAGTATACTGTAGTCCAGTACTTCTCCGGCACAACCGTGGAAACTTCTCTACTGCTGGTTTCTTTTGTAAACGACAGAGTTTTTGCTGTGGACCTGTGGTCCTCTCATTAGTGTAGTTTTCGTTTCTGAAAGCTGTCTTCTACTGTTGTTTGTTGGCTTGGCACAAGCGTCAGACTTGTTGTTTTCTGAACTGATAGATCATAGTCCTATAGATTCTATACCAAAATAAGGACACTTTTCGGTTTAATCAGTAACAACTTCTTTTTCGTGTCATTTTAACTAATGGATTTGTGACTTGATGATAACAGGTTCTACTCCGGTGCAGTGGCTGGAGCTAGAGAGGCATTAATATGTGGTGTATCATCTCTGTGCATATCACTGAATTGGTGATCACTACATTTTCTATCTCTAATAATCATAATATGTAATGGTTTTGTCTCTTCTTTATACATTGGCATTGCAATAGGTTTAACTTTTTTTTTCTCGTCTTCGATTTGTTTAGGAAGAAGGATGTAAGCTGTGAAAGTGATATGAAGGATGCAGTTGGTGTGTCCTTGTCATTAATATATGCAGCTGTAAAAAGCATCCAGGAGGGAGTTTTCCCCAAAAGTTGCTTACTGAACATTGAGATTCCTAGTTCTCCTTTGACAAATAAGGTTTGCTGTTTACAACTAGTTTAATTTCTAAATGAAGTGAAGGCATTATAAAATTCTGTTATGAAAAGTCGAACATAGTTTTAGACTTGATGATTAAAAGTCAAAATTTGAATATTGTGCTTTTCATCAGGGCTTCAAAGTGACCAGGCAGAGCCTGTGGAGATCCTCCTTGAGCTGGAAAGCTGTGTCCACCAATAAACGCCCTTCTGCTCCCCATTTCATGTCCAATCAGCAAAGCCTTGGCATTCAGCTAGCACAGCTCAGCCGAGATGCTTCTGCAGCTGTAAGTAGCACCCTTTTCTGTTTGGGGGCTAAGAATTAAATAACACTTATTTAGTAACAGAAATGCTGTAGTTTCTTCTATCAACCAAAAAGTTGTAGGCAATGCTCTAGTGTTCATTCTTGAATGGCCTACCCCCTCCTTGGATTTTGTCAGGGCGCAGCACGCCGCTTGAACTCTCAGAAGCAGAATGTGGAGATTGAATCTGTTGGAGCTGCCAGAAAAAGCAACTCGGAAAAAACAGTAAAATGCTTTCGTTTAGAGGTATGAACAAGTGACATAAATGACTCTAAACTGCATGACAAAAACCATGTTAGAAAACAGAAATCCAGGATCTCAAGTTGAGCTATCCATTGCTTTCTTTTATGCAGTTCTTAGAGGAGGAGCAGGAAAATGTAGATGAAGATCTGGACATCAGAGCACTTGAAGATGGATTTGTGAGTTGGAAATTTTATTCCTTTAACATCACTTGATCAACTTCATTGCCCCAAATTGCTGATTTGGTGTTGCCTTTTGGCATATGGTAGGTTGCAATTACTCCTATTTCGATATCTCCTCCAACCATTGGATCAGAAATTCAAGCCTCAGTGTCGAATTGGATTGCCGGTGCACTGGCCAAGAATCCCTTGGCATTTCATTGATAATCTTTGAGCATTAGTGGATTACCTTAAATTTTAGTGCACTAATTCAAATATTTAATTTCATCTCTTGGCTGGATATTATTTAGTATAAAGAGGAGTCTATGGCGAGCAAACTGTTGTGGCAAAATGGCCTGGCAAGGCAAAGGCAAGCCTCAGTTTCCTGTTATTAAAGGTGGAAAATATTATGGTGCAACTTGGAATGAATTGGGTTTTCTGAGCAAACCTAACTTGTAAATCTTAATTATTACACTTGGCATTCTGTGATTGGATCTGGATAAGCAACACTTTAGAACGTCAAAAAGTCATTTTTGGTTCTTGTGGTTTGCCACTTTTATCACTTTGGTCCATGTAGTTTCAATTTGATCAACTCTGTCCATGTAGTTTCTAATTTCAAACAATCAAGAACACTCGTTAGTTTCTATCAAATCTCTAACTAGTAACTTCCGTTACTTTTGAACATGTGCCTCTCACATGGAGGGGCAATTCGGTCCAATTATGCCATATAAGAGAATAACCAAGTTGGTTCTTCTCCCAATCAAATTTAGGCTTGATTTTGGGGATTAGGGTTCTTAAATTTTTTTTACTCCTGAGTCTGAATTTGGTTCAATCGATAATCCTACTGAACTTATAAGCCTTAATTTGTTGTTGTAAAACTCATCAATCAATCCACATTCTATGTTTCGGTGTTGGTTTTGGTGGGAGAGACAAGAGTAAATGTATACCCCACCAAGGTGTCAAGAAATGTCAGTGTGTTGATCATGTTAGAAGGGGCCATGAGGAAGGCTGCCTGCCTCTATGCTTGGTTAGTATGAAATCAATCACCCTTTTACTAATATTTATGTACTCTTTCTTTTTCAACTGAATTTACTATCCATAAATATAATTATAGGCAATATATATTATTGTTTTCGTATTTTCAATTAAACAAAATTCAAACCTATGAGTCAAAACTTTTAAGAACCCTAAGCCTCAAAATCAAGCCTAAATTGAAATGGAAGGAGAACCAACTTGGTTGTTCTCTTAAATTGCACTGCTCGAAATTAGAAACTAAATTGATCAAATTGAAACAACATTGACCAAAATAATAATAGCGGCAAACTAGAAGAACCAAAAGTGACTTTTTGTCCTTTAGAATTTCTTCAGAAAGGGGCATTGGAAAAAAAGAAAAAAAAATCAATGGACCAACTTGATAAGTCTCCGATTCTTTAAGCTTAGCCAACCTAAACCTTGGTTTATGGTTGGGCTTCGACCTGGTTATACTTCAAATGAGCTGAATTACTCGACACATGTGTTTTTTCCTCTTCAGTTTATATTCTCAAACTGGGAATATGCACACACACAATCAACTAACAATCAATTTGATCAACTATCATGTTTACAAAACTGTGAGAAGATATGTCGATGGAGCATTTCCAAGACCAATATTATACTTGTTTAGAAATAGTACTCAAGCACTTATCCGTATAATGGTATAAGCATGCTATGTTGCTAGTATGTGTATAATCATCCTATGTTGCCAGTATGTTTGGGAAAGGAACGTATGTGCTACTTTACAATACCCTAAAGTCTCTACTCTATTTAACCGTTAGGGTTTTCATTTGATGATTTAGAACACGATAAATGTTTCTTAAAAATTTACTAAACTTGCGATATTAGTATTTATATGACAAATAGAGTAGTAATAAACATCAAATCGTAAAAATTAAATAGCTAAATTTGTCATTTTGAACAATCATGTAACACTTGTTAAACACATGAGATGTTTTCAGAATTCATTGTTGATTGTCCATTGAATGCGTATAACTCACCAGACCATATGATGCGACTAGTTATAACATTTGGCTAGCATTCAAATGAGAAACCAACAATTTGAACCGCATAATCATGACCGTTTAAACTACCAAGAAACAATCCGACTATCAAATAACTTGCCACACAACTCTAACTCGACCCAAAAAAAGAAGAAGAAGAATATTATTGCGTAGTTCAGAAGAGCTGGTGAAAACATATACCCTACTTAGTACCCATACTTCAACATCCTCGAAGGGTGTTTTAGCTTTAAGTTTTAACCTGTGTACTTAGATGCAGTGGGACTTGGATTGTGGGGTCCCCTCATAGACTCACACTTGGCACTTGGATTGTGGGGTTCCCTCATAGATTCACTCTAGAGCTGTGCAATACCAGACCAGATCAACCCTACAAAATTATTTTAAATAAAGAGTTGGGGTCATTTGGAAGTTTCTAGAAAGTAGAGGGACTTTGGTTGTTAGGTGTGGGGACAAAAGAAGAGGGGATCAATTTAGCAAACCCAAATGGAAAAAAGTCTCAGAAGTAGGCATACGCATCAATGCTTCCACATAAGTTGCAAACCCCAAATGGACACACACACACATACTGATGCAATCGTACTGTCCTTCTCACAAAACCAGGAGAGAGTGAAGAGGCAAATTAAATTTTAAAAAAATAATAAAAGAAAAATTAAACAAAGGCATACACAATAACACTCTGCTCCTGCCTCTGCCCTTAGGTACATGATATATAAAGCTCTGCCATTTTCACTAAACCCCATTATTATTATTATTTTTTTCTGCAGACTGTTAGGTTCACTCGGCAACTTGTAAAAACCTTTGCTTCGAATTCAAAAATAAAAAAATGGTGGTGCCTGAAGGTGGTGGTGGTTGTGGCGGTGGGGATGGTGGTGGTGGTGGTATATCTCGTCTGCCACTGTCATCAGCAACCCAGTCGCCAAAACCCAGCAATGGTTTAGAAGAAGCAGAGAACGAGTTGAATAAAGCCACAGAAGAAGTGGCTCCGGCCAAGGAAGAGCAAAAGGCAGTGACTTTCAAAGGTGGTAATTGTGATCGGTCATCTTCTTCGTCTTCATCCCCTGCTTTGCCAAAACCAGCCAAGGAAATGTTCTGTATTAAAGAAGAAAACATAGATGTTGTAGTTGTGGATGATGATGTTGATGTTGATGGGGGAGATGATGGGAACTTTAATGGTGGTGATGGTGGTACATTTTCTTCATCTTCATCCATGGCGTTGCCTAAACCCATGGACGGTTTGCACGAGGCAGGACCACCACCCTTCTTGAACAAGACTTTTCAAGCGGTGGATGACCCAGAAACCAATTCGGTTGTTTCATGGAGTGCATCTGGTCAGAGCTTCATTGTTTGGGACTCTTACGAGTTCTCCAGGACTCTCTTGCCCAAATACTTCAAGCACAACAATTTCTCAAGCTTCATCCGCCAACTCAACACTTATGTAAAAATTATATCTTTTCCTTGAAATCTTTCATCTCTCACATTTGATTTGTGTGTTGCATGTCCTTTTTTACTTCTTCTTTAATTTGTTTGAATGATTTATAGTTTTTTCTCATTTGAACATATGGTTTCTGCTTAGTTTGTTATGCATAAATCTTCCTGGTCATTGAGTTCTTGATGGATCTTATTATGCATTCAGGGCTTCAAGAAGGTTGATCCGGACAGGTGGGAGTTTGCAAATGGAGGGTTTCAGGGAGGGAAGAAGCACTTGCTGAAGAACATCAAGAGAAGAATCAGATATAACAAGCAGCCAACTGTAGGCTGTGTTGATTCAACCAAAACTGGGTTAGAAGCCGAAATTGAAAGTCTAAAGAAAGACCAAGACTTTTTGAAATTGGAAATCATGAATCTCAGACAACAACAAAAGTACTCACAGCATCAACTGACTGCTATTGAACAACGAATTCGAAATTCAGAGTGTAAGAACCAAAGGATGCTCTTTTTCCTCACCAAAACAGCCACAAATTCCACCATTGTCCAGCAGCTAATGCAGAAGAGAGTGATAAAGAGAGAGCTGGATGGGAGTGATCTACGCAAGAGAAGGAGAATGCCTTCAGTCCAAGTCCTTGAAAGCTTGCGTGATGGGATTGATACCAGCCTCAGTGTGGATTGTGGAACCCAACTTGAGGAAGAACTGGTGCCTATGCAGTCTCTGCTTGCTGAACAAGTGGCAGAGGCAAAGGTTGCCAAACAAAATGAAGGCCCATTGCCAGCTCCCATGATTGATAAATCAGGCAATGCAGTTCAAGATCTTAAGCCCCATGTGATGGCCAGAACCGGCACGGAAGACATGCCCACTGCTTATCATGGCATGTCTGAGAATTTCCTGGAGGAAAATGTAGTCTTTGATGATGATGAATTTGAAGTCGGTTACTCTAATTTTTATCAAGAATTGGAGGATTTGATTGGCAAGCCACATGATTGGAGTGGTTATGTAAGTCACTGCCTGATGGAGCAAGCTGGGGTAATTGGGGCCATGCCTTGATTTCACAGGTATGTTTTATGTTCTCTTAAATATGAAGAATTGTGTTTGTGTTGTGAATATGGAGAAATATAATGTGTTCTTGGGGTTGTTGCTTCTACAGTTGCAGAGACCTGAGAATCAAGCTGCAACATCAGATGAATGAAGAACTCCTTAGCCTATCTTGTGTAGTTGTCCATATAACTTTCTGTACTTTTCTTCCCTAAACCCTTGTCTTTTTATACCTAAATTGTAAATATCTCTTCCTCTCCGCTGCTGAACTGATACTGCACAGCTTGGTTTAGCAGATAAACTCTGTATAATATAGAGTGCATGTTAAAAATCCCATCTTTCAGTTTTGCTTCAATTCATGGTGTCTTCTGTTGGAGTTTGGCTACAACTCAGCTATGTTAAGAGTGTAGCAATCCTGTTCATTCAGCTCCTGTGCCTCCCTCCCTGGTACCTGAAAAAGTGGATGATCTATGGGTCCCACCCTATCCTAACCCTGAATTTTAAATTCTTAAAGAATAGATGCGTGTAGCTGAATGTAGATAGATCCTAACTAGAAAATTCGAACAAGCTCATTTGTGTTTTCAGTCTTCCCACGTGTTTGAATGACACATAATGCTGCTGTATTTTATTGTTGATATGCTTTTGGGGAAGCTTAAGACGTTGCCAAATTGGGTTTTGGATGCAATCTTTGTGGTCTGAAAAAGCAAATACAAAATCAGTGTTTTTGGAATTAAGTTAAGTTGGGTTTTTATGGTAATCAAACATCTTGATTAAGCACCACTTGGTTTTTATGTTTTTTTTAAGGTAAACTACAGTAAACCCCCCAACCTATAGAGTCATCTACGAGTTCATACCTGATTTTGAGAGCATTTATGAGTACATACACAACGTCGCGAAAACTTACAGATTGCCCCCTCCGTTAGTGAATCCATAAGGAAATCCGTTATGTGTCTACGTGGCATCTAGCTGTACAATTTTTTAAGGGCATTTTTGACAGATCAGGTCTCTGGGTTTCGCGCCCAAAACAACACGTGGTTTAGTTTAATTCAAAAAAGAAAAACAGAAAACTCTCAAATCGTGTTCCATATCTAAGCTCCCACTCAGACCTAGCCTCCAAATCGATAGAAGTGGATGCCCAGGTTCCAATTCGAAGAAGACAAAGACGACGATGGCGACGAGGTCGACGATGTCTGCAAATCGAAGATGCGAAGTGGGCCAGCCCATTTGTCACTGCGGCAATCAATGTCGTCTGACGACGTCGTGGACTGACAACAACCCTGGAAGAAGATTTTGGGGTTGCGAAGATTATGGGGTCAGAAGAGGTTGTGCATTCTTTGAATGGTATGATCCACAGGTATGCGAAAGGTCCAAGATTGTGATATCTGGACTATTGAAACGATTGCGTAAGGAAGAAGAGGAAAACCGAAAATTGAAAAAAGAGGTTGGAGCTGCTTTGAAAGCACAAAGATTTCTACGAGTAAGTGTTCTGGGTTCTTGGATTTTTTTGATTGTGTTGTTGGGAATGCTAGTACTGGAATGGAGAGACTCTGGATCTTCCAAGAATGTGAAATTAGCACTTACATTTTAGGATCTATATCTTAGAAGAGTTGGGTGATGTATTTTGAGGCTATTTGTGGGACATTTTGGAAAATCAAAGTGTTTTGTGTATGAAAGGTCTGTTTCTTGTAATTTCCCATGTGAAGTTGTATGAAAGATGTTTATGTATGAACAATTGTGAGGCAAATTGGAAATGCAGACTGTTAATGTATGCACAATTGTTAAGGAATTTCCAATTGAACAATTGCTTGAAGGCAAATTCCATTATATTTTGAGTTCAAAACACATGCATACATTTCCAACATTTGCATCTCAATTTTACAAAATGAACATGAGCACCTAATCTGGAATACAATAAAACAGCTACCAAAACCAGAAGTTGGTCTCCACTTGGAGTTCAAAATACCAGAAAGTAAACTTATTAGGCCACATCACAAAACCAGAAATTGTACTAATTCAAAATAAAATGGAATTTGCATAAACTAAGAACTAAGAACTAAGAGCCTATGTTCTCTGTCTCTTGGATGCCTTCAATCCTATTCCAGCAGTTTCAGCTGCATTTGGCTGGGAAGCATTTAGTGCAGCCTTCTTTGCAGCAGCAGTAGCCTTTGCCCTTACATATGCATTCTTTCTCCTAACTCTTGCAGCTGCTTTTGCTTCATCCTACAGACAAAATACACTCTCAGCTTCAAACAATAAAACAATGAAATTGCTTTTCCATTTTAAGGAAGAAACAACATAACATTTCATCAACACAACCTAGCAATAAAAATAGGCACTCACAGCAGCAACTGCAGGGTCTTAGTTAGATATCTTTCTTGGTATTCCTTTACCCCTTGAAAGGGGTTTTTCCTTTTGAGGTAGATTCCAATGGTTAGTGGTTTTGTTATGGCCAGTTGAGCCATAAATACTACACCTCATTTGCATTCCTTGTCTTCCCAACAATTTTTCCCAGTCTTATCTATTCTCTCTTCAGCTCCTTTTATCCTCACCTTTCTAGGTCTTCCAGGTTGTCTAGTGTAGGCTGGTGGCTTTATTGCTGTCTGGTTGGTCTTCTCCCATAGCTGTGATCCATTAATTGGCATAATGAGATTGTTATAAAGGGCCATGTAACTGTCCTTTCTGTAGTATGAATGCACATAATCCTCCACAGCTTTACCTCCTTTGTAATGTATGACAGCAATTCCATGAGCACAAGGAATGCCTGACAAGTCCCACTTTCTGCAAGAACAAGTGTGATTATCCAAATCCACTACATATTGGTCACCTCTTCCTACATCCACTTGATATTTAGGACCTCCAGACCACTACACAGTACAATTACATGCTTCTAACTTTTTCTGTTGCACATGGTAAAAAATGTTCTTGCATATTTGATGAGGCCAACTGCTTATCTTGTCCCTCATCCACTGGATCCTTCTCATCAACAAGCACCTGATCATCTCTAGCATTGTGATAATTAGCTTGTCCCTTGCTGTCTTGATACTATTGTTGAAGCTTTCACATAAGTTATTCTGCAGCATATCACACTTAATATGTGTTTTGAAATGAGACTTACTCCATTGTGTTGATGGCTCCTCAGCAAGCCACTCCCATGCATTGCTATCTAAGGTCTTCATTACTTCCATTTGATACTTAAAAACAAGGCAATGTTTTGTTGAAGTTATCCTAAAGGTGTCTCACGCAGAATCTTGTCTCAGCATTAGGCACAATGTCTTCAAATGCACCAGACAGTCTTTTTTGCTTGTCAGATATAAATACAACCTAGCAATAAAAATAGGCACTCACAGCAGCAACTGCAGGGTCTTAGTTAGATATCTTTCTTGGTATTCCTTTACCCCTTGAAAGGGGTTTTTCCTTTTGAGGTAGATTCCAATGGTTAGTGGTTTTGTTATGGCCAGTTGAGCCATAAATACTACACCTCATTTGCATTCCTTGTCTTCCCAACAATTTTTCCCAGTCTTATCTATTCTCTCTTCAGCTCCTTTTATCCTCACCTTTCTAGGTCTTCCAGGTTGTCTAGTGTAGGCTGGTGGCTTTATTGCTGTCTGGTTGGTCTTCTCCCATAGCTGTGATCCATTAATTGGCATAATGAGATTGTTATAAAGGGCCATGTAACTGTCCTTTCTGTAGTATGAATGCACATAATCCTCCACAGCTTTACCTCCTTTGTAATGTATGGCAGCAATTCCATGAGCACAAGGAATGCCTGACAAGTCCCACTTTCTGCAAGAACAAGTGTGATTATCCAAATCCACTACATATTGGTCACCTCTTCCTACATCCACTTGATATTTAGGACCTCCAGACCACTACACAGTACAATTACATGCTTCTAACTTTTTCTGTTGCACATGGTAAAAAATGTTCTTGCATATTTGATGAGGCCAACTGCTTATCTTGTCCCTCATCCACTGGATCCTTCTCATCAACAAGCACCTGATCATCTCTAGCATTGTGATAATTAGCTTGTCCCTTGCTGTCTTGATACTATTGTTGAAGCTTTCACATAAGTTATTCTGCAGCATATCACACTTAATATGTGTTTTGAAATGAGACTTACTCCATTGTGTTGATGGCTCCTCAGCAAGCCACTCCCATGCATTGCTATCTAAGGTCTTCATTACTTCCATTTGATACTTAAAAACAAGGCAATGTTTTGTTGAAGTTATCCTAAAGGTGTCTCACGCAGAATCTTGTCTCAGCATTAGGCACAATGTCTTCAAATGCACCAGACAGTCTTTTTTGCTTGTCAGATATAAATGCCCATCCATAGGAATTAACAATGTCCACATCCTTGGCCAACAGATCAATGAACCATGTCCATGACTCCCTTGTTTCCATCTCAACCACAGCATATGCTATCACCCAAGTCTCGTTATTCGGATCGATACCAACTGCTGCAAGCAACTGTCCACCATAAACCCCGTTTAGATGGCAGACATCTAACCTAATAAAAGGCCTACAGTTCATCTTAAACCCTCTCTTTAATGGTTCTAAACAAATGTATAAACACTTGAAAACAGCTTCACCATCAACAAACTCACACTACATCTTTGTTGTGGAGCCAGGGTTTTTGTCTTCCAGCTCATGGCAATAATCCAAGAGCATGGCATATTGCTTAGCAATTGATCCTTCAATCATTCGAAGCGCGTCTGCCTTTGCCCTGTAAGCTTTCATCCTAAATATACTTACTTTAAACTCAGAAGATGCTGCATTCACTATAGACTGTGGAGGCATGGTGGGATTTGATTGAATCCTAGGCAGGAACTTCTCTGTCAACCATTTACTTGAGGCTTATGTGTTTTGAAATACTCTGACACAATTATGATTGAGATTATAGTATTTCACCACCAAACTTCGATCTGTAGGGTTTTTCCAAGCTACATAAATATGCCATGGACAGCTCACTGCTTTATAAACTGCCTTCAGCTTATACTTTTCATTCCTTATGAAAGTGACCTCTTTCTCACTCAACAAGCAATATTCACAAACAACATCTCTGAAAATCTTGCAGTCATTGAATATCAGTCCAGTATCAAAAACAGGGTTTTGCTTGTCTGTTTCATGGTTGTAGTGTTTGAATTTTTTCCCCCTTGCAACTGGTTCATCATCTTCATCTGAATGAACACTTCTTAACTCATCCTCCACTGCTTGATCCCCATCTTCCAATCTGGTGTCTTCAAAATCTGTGTGGTGAAAATTCGTAATCCGAGAAGAACGCTCCCTATTTTGACCAGTCTGTGAAGGTTGGCGTTCATTTTGACCAGTCTGTGAAGGGTGGTCCCCACTTGGGCCAGCTTGTGAAGGGTAGTCCCCACTTGGACCAGCATGTAAAGGTTGGTCCCCACTTGGACATTCACCCTCATTAACAACACCACCTTCATTAACAACACCACATTCACCCTCATTAACAACATCACCCTCATTTATCTTTTCATCTTCAAAAGGCTGAAAAGTTTCTTCAACTGGGGAATAGTCTGCAATCCACTGTTGCAAAAATATGGTTTCCTCAGCTATCTCTTCAATGTTCCTCCCCATACTCACTGTCAACAAAAGTAGATGCATCATTATCTTCCCAATCTGTTGCACTTGTCATTGCCACACCTTTACCCTTTGAAGACCTTGTAGCCCTTGTAGCCCTTGCCTTCTTTGGTGCCTCAGGTTCAACCACTTCTTTACCCTTTGAAGACCTTGTAGCCCTTGCCTTCTTTGGTGCCTCAGGTTCAGCCACTTCTTTACCCTTTGAAGACCTTGTAGCCCTTGCCCTCTTTGGTGCCTCAGGTTCAGCCACTTCTTTACCCACTTATTTACCCTTTGAAGACCTTGTAGCCCTTACACTATTTGGTGGCTCAGGTTCAGCCACTTCCTTATCCTTCGAAGACCTTGCAGCCTTTCCATTCTTTGATGCCTCATCCATTGTTTTACCCTTTGCATTCTTTGGTGCCTCAGGTTCTGAAAAATCCCCAACATCCTCCACTGGTTCTTGCTCCACTATCTTCAGTGTTTTACCCTTTGCATTCGTTGGCTGCTCAACATTGCTCTTTGTCTTATAAGGAACAAGAGGAATAGAATCAGCACATCTTATATCTTCAATCACGACTGACCTCTGTTGTTGGACCCCAGAACCTTCTACCCTTTGCAGCTCCATCTCTTTGTGTTTGTTTAAAAAGGAATAAAGGTCATTAGCCAACTGTGTCAAAAATATAGTTATCTCCCTTACTCCTGGCACACATTCACACATTTTCAGAACATCTTCATCAGACATAAGCTTCTCTACAGAAGCAGAGTTGGGAAGCTCATAGTGATATAACACTATACCATCATAGCCTAACTCCTTAACCATCAGACCAATTTCAAACATAGACATTTGGTCCTTATCACAAAAATCAATGAAATCTAGAGTCCCATTTACATACAGGTTGTCACATAAAGAACCTCCATGGTTCATTCGAATGGTAAACTTATCATTTTCACCTACAATGCCATATAACAGTCAAACCTATCAATACACAATTGTTCAATATTTAACTGGTGACTAAACAAGGACATAAACAAATGCAGAGGTTTTGGACCACTAAGTACTGTCTCCAATCAAAAGCAGTTTGGTTTGAAAATAAAAAGTGTTTTTTATGTCTTTCCAACAACACAACTAAGTTTACTATCAACCATGGACCACAAATATCACTATCAAGCACACTTCAAAGCAACTGAAAGGTTCAGACAAAATCAAACCGCACGCATCTTAAACCTTTGCGAGGAAACCAAAAAGCAAGAAAACTTAAAAACTAGCTTCAACTTACAGTAACGAGGAGCACGACAACCACTAGGACGATTACCCCAGGGCATCTCGAATTACAGCAACCCAGCCTTCTTTGCGCTTTTGATCGATGCAAAATGGGGATTAGGTTTCAATTTGTGCAATCGGTTTCGAGTTGGGGGGGAAATCGATTTTCGGTGAGGGGGGTTATGGACGATGAGCTTCTGGAACGATTCGGGGGTTTTTTCTTTTTTTTTTTTAAATTACATAATGCCACGTGTTGTTTTGGGCTCGAAACCCAGGGACGTGAGATGCCGAAAATGCCCTTAACAGATTTCTTGAATTACAGAAGGCCAGACGCCACGTAGGCACATAACAGATTTCCTGACGGATTCGCTAACGAATGGGGCAATCTGTAAGTTTTCGCGACGTTGTGTATGTACCCATAAATGTCCCCAAAATCGGGTATGAACTCGTAAATGACCCTATAAATTGAGGGGTTTACTGTAGTTTACCTTTATATATATATATATATATATATAAATCAATTATATATGGAAGGTCTTCTCTTACCAGCAAAGCAAAGGTGTGTTTGTTTACACATCGAAAATCTTTACTGAAAAAAAATCGTAACATACTCATTTTTTGTTTTTATTTTTTTGTTTCTTAAATTTACTTGGCCTGGACATGGCTAAACGCACAACCAGAGAATAAAACTTTTAACTTTTTAAAAAAACAAGAAATAAATAACCAGTGCAGAATTGACAATTGAGTGCAAATAGAACCATCCCTCCATCAAAGTTCATCCAATACAAACCAAGAAGATGATTCTTACATTAACCAAGAACATGAAAGAAATTTCACAGTAGACTGAACACAGGCATGAAATCATCGCTATGAGACTAAGCAATTCGACTGAACTTCCTATAATCTATGTAATACAGAATTATGATTTAAAAAGGAAAACAAATGAAAGAGAAGGTGAGAATGAACATAACAGAATGATGAAAATTATATTATTGATTGAGGGTGAGCTTTCCATTAGACCTCACTATTCCTATTGACGTTGAGGAAGAAGAAGAAGACACTGCAGACAGATCAAACTCCTCTTTGTCCTCGTTGAATGCCTTGCTTAGCACTTCTTGGAGCTCCATGTACCTTCGTTGCTTCGAGAGCCGTAACTGTGGAGTATCGTCCCCGGTGTATGCAAGCTGTGATATGTCATCACCATCCATGATTTTATTCAGTACTTCTGAGCAACGAGGAAAGAAGCGTTTCCCGAGTTCCACTGCTCACATAAACCACAGAACATAATGGTAGAGCAATCAGATGTTTCAATTGCTGAAACCGCAAAGCTAATGTATGGAATGTGGTTGTTCATGAAGAGAAATGCATATAACATTACCAGTTCGAGATAGAGCTTGTAGCCTGAGAAGGTGCTCTTCCTTGATTTTGAAGGGTGCCTCGTTTAAGTCAACAGTGGTTCTCTGGGAACTGGCCAGATCCTTGGAGCTGATGCCACCTATTGGAAACTCAGAAGCGCCATCAATTTGGGAAATATCCATTACAACCTTTGCTTCCATGGGGAACAGATATTTTGCAAGTCCAACTGAGACGAGATAATCAGTCAATAACTTAATCATAAGCTCGTTTAATAATAGGCAATGGATGCACCCTACAAGGGATAATAAACTACTATGTCAGACAAAACCGGAAGGAAAAAAACCCCATAAATGACATCAAGCAAAACTGCACATTTGTTATGTTACGTGTTAAAGTCGTATTTCAGTCACTTAAACTGAGACAAAAATGGATGGGATTGCAACAATGGTTAAGTTGGAACTGATAAGAAGCCACAACTCACACAAAACATGTAAAACTTATATTGTCCCATCATGTTATCAATTGGATAATAGTAAACAGCAAACAACAGGGTTCTCTCAGAAAGATCAACCAGATGAAGAAGCACCGGTACAGCAAAAATGAATGGTAGATTACCTCTATTCTCAAGGTACAAGAGTTTCATACGCAGATCATCGCCAGCCATGGCAAGTGAAAGAGAAGCTTCTCCAAGCAACGGATCCCTTCTTTCAGCTTGCTCCAAAATCTCTATGCACAAGCGATCATTGGAAGAAGACTTGCCCTCATCATTAGACTTAAAAAAATCTGCAGCCTTTGTGAGGCGCTTAGTGATCTGAACAGCTTTTCTCCCATCCAACGTTAGATCCGATGGGCGAGCACCCTTTGTGAGAAGGGACACAATGATCTTAGGCTCCTTCCTCATCGCTGCAACGTGCAGCACAGTATACCCCCTCGGATTCCTGCAATTAACGTCAGCAAGTCCAAGATCAAGCAACTCTGTCGTGGTCTTTGCATCACAGTATGCCACAGCATAATGCAGGGCATGGGCATCATCAAGATTGGCATGCGCCTCTTTCAACAGCATTCGTACCAATTCAACATCATCTGAATCCAAAGCCCTGTGTATCCTCTTGGTGTGTTTATCTGGAAAATGACTAACACTGGTGTTGCATTGAGGCCTGTCCAAGCCAAGTGCCAACCGCGAATCAGTGATCAGCTTCACGGTGTGTTCGGGCAGGGATTTCTCAAGAGTTACAACATCAGCATCAGACTTAACTATTATCTCAACACACCTCCCCACCAATCTCCCACACGCTTCGCCGCACATGTTTGCAACATACAGAACCACCAGTATGTCATCTATGCAAACTTTCTCAAGAATATCTAGCAGATGCCTCTGGAAATTAATAATCAATATACAACAAGCTAACAACAAAATGTCGGAAACCTTACAATCAACAATTAAAACAACATCCATCTTCGTACACACATATATAAACAAACACGGAAAGTAATCTTCTTTTGCCAAATTTTCAACAAAATAAGATTGTGAATCTCCCCAATTAATCAAATTCAAATTTATCGACTGTAAATTTCAACCATTAAGCAAATTTATTAACTTTTAATGATGGGTTAATAGCAATTTAACTTATAAGCATTTGTTGGACAACATAAACTAACAAATACTGCGACATTAGCGTATACTGCAGTGGGTTTTTACCTGATAAAGAGAGACCAATTCAGAGATTTGAAAAGTTGCAGAAGCATAGAGAACCTCCACAATGAAATCAACGACGGGTCTACAAGAGACATGGGCACAAGCGTCATCCACACAGACACAAACGCCTTTAGGCAACGACCTGAGCTTGCCGCTATACAAATAACCCAAAACGGCGAGGAGGGAGTCCAATCCGACGTCGTATTCCTTGGCGAGTTCCTTCAATTCGAAGCGAACGGCTGAGCCTGATCCTATGTCTTTGGCAGAAAACACGTTCTTGAAAAACGAGCTCCTCGCCGATAAAATACAGCGGTGAACCGGAACTTCTCGGCCGGTATTGACGACGATTTTGGCGTCGGCGAAGAAGTCAAAATCGGCCGAGTCGAGGATTGATTCGAGGTTATCCGAGAGGCGGGTGAGGGCCGAGATATCGGGAGGCGAAGGGTAGTGGGATAATGCTATACAGGAGATGGTGCTGCTGTTGGAGTTGCTGTAGCAATTGCTGTTGCTAACGACGTCGTTTGAGTCCGAGACTCCGGCTTTGAATTCCATCGAAACAAGAACAGAGCAGAAATGAGTTAATATGAGCTGTTAGGTTAATGGGGTTTATGAGTTTCGGAGTGAAAGCTGGGAACTTTGGATTTGAAGTCAGATGAGAGAGAGACAGAGAGAGATCAACAACATCAGCATCAGCTGTGAACATGGGTGACGATGAGAGAAAACAAAAACCCAATTACGCAAACAAAAAAATTGCTGATCAAAATCTTTGTAATTTTTGTTGTTGTTGTTGTTGGTAATAATAACAATAGTTCCTTGTTTGTCCGTACATTAATTATTCTCCAATCATAAAGCCCAAGTACCAAGTTAAAGGATAGGCAAAAAAAGTGGTGCTGTGACAGAGAACAGAGAAAGAGAAAGGGAGATGGGACTGAATTTTGAAGTCGGATTTGATGCCTGCACGAGTGCATGGTAATCCGGATAAAATAGAAAATGGAAAAGACCAAAAAACAAGCCGTTTTGGCCTCAGCTTCTGCATTCATAATCTTCCATGATCGTCATGGGCACCGATCTGCAGCTTTTTTGAGTTGCTCTCATTTGCTCTGCCTTCTCTGTTAAGGATCTGCGTCTTTGTTTTTTAGTTTTACTTCAATGTGCAAAAGTGGTAAGCCTAGCAGTAAAATATATACAAATACTGCAGTAAAATTTGGAGGGAAGATCTGAAGTTTTGGTTGAAGATGAGGATGGTGTAATCTGAAAATGACTGTAGAGTTAAAAGTCATCTACTGGAATCAGTCTCAGGCAAGGAAGAACATGTCCATTTCAATTTAAATATCTTTGGGTGGCTATGAACCATTGATTGGTAAGAGATTCACATCAACTAACGGTGATTGTCGCCTACAAGCGCATAGGTGATTGATGCTAGTTAAACCCAACATCTTATATCTATTTTGGGGATAAAAATAGTAGACCTACGAAGTGATAAGAAGGGACATATGTTGAAACTGAGTCATGAAAAAGGGGTACATAATAATTTCTCATGCATAACCCGAGTTGTATTCGGGCAGAAAAGAATGAGGAAGAAATATCACAATTTGACCAGAATTCACAACCGATCATCTTTGTTCCCACGAGAAGAGCACACTTTCTCCAACCCTTTTCCTATTGACACTCACAGTCCACCTTCCTTCTTAGGTGAAGAAACTGGATTTTTCTCTTTTTTCTTGGGATGAATCGATTGGACAATCGCCTCGATTTCCTCCTTTGCTCTTTCAAAAACATTTGGAGCCTTAACATGATCGATTGGGATACTCGCATCTATGTCATCACTCGTTCCATGAGTTTCTTTAGTATGATGCTTTGGTGACTTCTCATGAGTTTCTTTATCATGATGCTTTGGTGACTTCTCATGGTGCATAATCGTTCCAATCTTTTCCTTCGCTTTCCCAATAAAATTAGTTGTCTTGGCATTATTTTCTGCAGCCATGAAACCTAGTATTAAGAACTAAAATGACTCGAATTTTGGCTTATAAAGTTTCTCCACAAACAACATTCAGTCAGCATGCATACGATGGAGAAGATTTCTCTCAAATTTTTTTAGCTTTCCATAACAGCATACAAATGATAATGAAGAAGATAAAAGAACCAAAGGCAAAATATTATACAAACAGAACAGTATTGACCACAATCCATTGTTCTTATCTTCTAAAAACTGCTAGTGCTAGTCATGGAAACCAATGTAAAAGTTCCAAGAAACCATCTCATACAAGCAACATTATCATGAATTTTATACCTGATTGAGAGTCGGTTTTCTCCTGTTTTTTCGACTCCTTTTTTTCATCCCTGCAATCAAATTAAGAGAAGCAATAAGGTCAAAACCTAAGCACATCAAAAGGCCAGTTTCAACCTGCTTTCAGCTTTTCAAATTGTTCAAAACTACAACAAAGTAAGCCAAAAAAAGGGAAACCTTTTGCCATGAGTGGGAGACTCTGTCTTGGGATGGATTGCTTCAACTATAGCCTCAAACTCCTCCTTCGCTCGTTCAAACATATTTGGAGCTTTGACATTGTCTAGTGGGGTCTTTTCATCAATATCCGTACGCATGCCATGAGTTTCCTTGTGATCGTTATGTGATTTTTCAGTGTGCATTATTGCTCCAATCTCTTCCTTTGCTCTTTCAATCAAATTAGGTGCCTTTACTTCCTTATCTGTGAGAAATTTTAAATATTTAAAAATAAATTTACCCCCTTAATCAACAATTCGTTCTCTTTTCTACACAGACAAATTATAATATACCAACTATTCATTCTCGAGCAGTTATAAATTTAATCACTTCAAATAAGCTCATGATTGATTGCTGTGGAAATGCAAGGAATCACAAGGAAATTCAGCACACTCAATCCAATCCCAGACTCTAATTAGATTCAAAATATTCATTTCCACTCCTAAAATCTCAAACACGCCTCGAAAAAACCAATCTTTTCAATAATCCTTCAAGAAAAAAGATGAAATTGAAAATTCTAGCAAAAGGGTATCAGAGACAAAACGAGAATGACAGATTAGAAAGTTCAAAAAACCGTACCGGGTGAAGCTGGCGTTGGGCCGGGTTTGGATTCCGCCATCGGAGTTGCTTGGCAGACAAAGAGAGAGATTAGGTTGAAGATGGCAAGAATATAAGTTGGCGTAACGAGAGATTGACAAAAGAAAATATAGACAGAATCAAGACGTGTATATCTATATGTATGCCAGTCTGGACAAGGCAACGGTTGGGTTGGGCTGGGTCTACCTGGACGGCGGCGTCTTTGGACCCGCTAACAAAGTAGCATGAGAATGTGGTTCAAGAGGTGTCCCTCTCAAAAGCTTTTTTTTTATTTATTAAATAGTATAGCCGAACGGCTATACCTAACGTATTTAAATTGTATAGCCGCACGGCTATAATACGGTTTTTTTTAAAAAAATCGTATAGCCGCGCGGCTAAACCTCTTACACGTGACCTAGGCTTTTTTATATTTTAGTCTAGCCGCACGGCTATACCCGGTTTTCTTAAATTTTTTAATAAATAGTATAGCCGGACGGCTATACTCTTCTAAAATATATATATAGGCAGGTCTTTTTTTTGTTTTTAAAGAAATAGTGTATCTGTTTGTCAGGGCCCATCCTAGTTTCATTTGAAATGTTAAAAGAGAGCCCATGGAATTTGGAAAAATAAATGTGGGTCCATGGACTGTTGTTTTGGATCAAGAGAGTCCATGAACTTTGGGGAAAAAAGAAGTGAGAGCCCATGGATTTTGTTACTGCAGATTTTGTTGGCAAAAGATGGAGATGGAAAATATTTATTTTTATATGTATTTTTATCAAGTCTTGATTCTTTCTGGCTTGTACTTGTATTTGGTGGCGTCAGTTTGACCACTGAAAACGGAATGCACGCACAGTCGAAGGCAGCAGACATCAACTTTGAAGCCTTGAATTGAAGTTGAATAAAATTCTACGCACTTGCAGCTGCAGGCTGCAACATTGCATAAAAAAATCCATCAAAAACTATATTTCTTACATAAAACGCATAATTAGCCAAAACTCATTTGGTGATGATGTTTGAAAACTTTTTAGGTCGGGGGTTTTAGAGGCTGCTAATTTAAAAGGAAACAGCCAACCCAATTTTGATTTGAATTCTCTCCATCCACATTTTCCTCGTATTTCTTCGCACCTTCTTCTATGATAAGAACAAATAAAACTAGGGCTATGTATGCTAGCTCTTGAATTTCTCATTTATATTTCATAAAATATAAAATATAAAAAAACTTCATATTAAATGAGTCAGTTTCAACAGCTGAAGCAGTTGGAAATGCAAGTAGGTGAGGTATTTAATTGGCAGAACAAATATATATATATATTTATATATGATAATATGTAGGTGAGGTATTTAATTGGCAGAACAAATATATATATATATATATATATATGATAATATAATATGAGGCATGTCTGCGTCGCCACCCAAAGTTTTTGTTTTTGTTTTTTTTTGTTTTTAACATTTATGAGTCTTGAATTTGGATAGTCATGGACCTCCATTATTGTTAGAGGCCAAAACTGTTGAATAGTGGTAGGCTCTACACCTATATACAATTATTCGTTCAATACATGTACGTTGAATAGTGGTAGGCTCTACACCTATATTCAACTATTCGTTCAATACATGTACGGATAATGTATCTCTATACATAATTGATTAGGTGTAATAATTCGTAGTTCAAATGATTAAGAGTAGTTATTTATATATCTGAAATTCTGTTTTATATAATTAATTATGTATATATAACTACAAGAAATTCATATGTAAATTATATAGATAATGGGATTTGATTTGTTTTTGTTTTTTTTTTCATTTCAAAAAGCCCTCAAATCCTCAGCATTTCCACACTTAAGACATGTCGCTTACGTGCATAGGTCGTTCATAATCGTTGAGGAATGTGAGATTTCAAAAACATTAACAACAATCATATGTTTATCTCACATACATCAACGATGAAAATTCAACAATGCTCGAAAACCCTAGCAAAATCCTACCTTGCATGCACACATAGAAAACACGATATAGTTATAGATCGGCATCGACCATTTTGGCGGCTGGACAAATTGCAGGTACGAAAACGCGTTTGCAAAAAGCATGGTTTTGAGAAACGTTGACAGAAATAATTTAATTAAATTTAGGAAAACCATGCAACAAGTAGCAAGAGAAAGAGATAAAAGCAGTACACGTCAGCACCCAGCATGGTCAACTGAACTAACTATACAGCTGTGGCGGGAACCGGGGGACAATCCACAAAGAAATCAGGACTTTTTAGCGTCACCGTAATTTACATAAATACCCTTCCTCTCCCTTCCGGGAAATTTTGTGCCGGACTGACTGATTGACTTTCCCTTTGTGTACCTCTTCTGCTCAACAATTTTGATTTATTGCACCTACAAAAACTAAAACATCATTTTCGCCAAAAAGAAAGAAAAAAAACTAAAACATCATAACTTGATTTGGACCGTACCATCAATATGTCGTGTACATACGAGTTGATATTTGGGTGTGACAAATGAGTGAATAATGAAAATTCGGCGTATGAAAAAGTACGAAAAATATAATACTACACATGTTCCACACTTTATATTTATTTATCATAATACTAATTGCACTTATTATGAAGATCTATGTGTGAACATATAAACTTTACGTGAATCATGCATCATGCATGTTGCATGTATATATATACACACACTAATACAATGAAAACGTTGGTAATTGAGGTAGATAACTTTGTAAACAAGCCCTATAAAATATATTGGGGATAGTGATTGGATGACTGGTGTGAGACATGCTGCATGCATGTAAATTAATTATGAAGCTTAAAGTTAGATTGAAATGAAGGCGATAATTATTGTTTTTCATAAAGAAAACGACAATGGTTGGTTTCTTCTTATATATAAAGAGTAAAAATTGTTGATTTTGTCAGCATAGTGTGAAAATCTTGATTTGATTTGAGTTGCCCTCCGATCTCATTTAGGAAGACGTTTTATTATGCGATTCTTTAAGTCGAGGTCAATTGTTTTGTTTTCCTTATTCTTTATTTTATCAATAAAGTTTCTCTCGTTTCATTGAGATTGTCTCACAACAAAAACAGAGTAAAAATGGTACATAGTTTAAGATCGATTGGCTTGGCTGGATTGCGTAACGTCCATTGGTAAACTGCACATTGGACGACTAAACATGATTATAAAGGAAAATTAAAAAAAACTAACAAGTCGGCCAAGATGAATTATTTTACACAATGCACACCACCACCTCGTGATTTCGGGATGAAGAATATTTATATTTATATGTGTATTGGTCCTTTCGTGCCCTATTTTATTTTTAGTATTAAATTTCACATGGAATCAGTGTCGTGACCTTTACGGTGCAACAACAATGCTAAAAGCTAAAAGTCCACTCATTATTTGTTGGAATAAAAGGTCACCATGCAAGTTAATAGTCTAATTAAATATTAATTAAAAAAAAGGAGTTTCACTAAAACACTCAAAATGGGAACTGAAATTATAAAAAAACCCAACACTCAAAACACTTTATAAACACACCCAAAACTCATCATTACACACTCAAAACCCATTTATAAACACACCCAAAAAATATACAATTGTTGATTTTATGGTTAATTTTGAGTGTGTTTCTATATTTAAATAATGTTTGAATTTTTTTATAAATACATGTCTAGAATTGAGTTTATTTATAAATTTATATTAAAAAAAACCTTTAAAGTTGCATGTTCCCTGCTCTGAAGTTTTAAATAATTATAAAATTATTTAAACTAACTTTCAATGGTAATTACTGGTCAGTTTTTAGATATTATGGAATTTTTGTTAGGATGAGCTATAAGATGTTCAAAGGTAAAGCTCAGAAAGATTGCATTGCTTGACAATCACATATTGAATTATTATATATCGATTTCAATGTCTTGACTGTTGACTCTCTATGGTAATTTTGACTCACCGGTGTGCATTGTTCAAGCACGTCTCTCCTGCATCCCAAGCATCATTTCAAAGGTAATTTTTCACTGTTGACTTGTTTTGCTCCAATTTCACAAATATTTATTCTTATCTATGCACTCAAGGTTATGTGTTTAAATTCATCATACTCCAATATTGCTCGTGTAAACAAATAATGTATTGAACGTTTCTAATATTTCTTTTAGTGAAATACCATTGAAAGATTTCGAATCGGATTTTTCTTTGGGGGTCTTGCTTCCCAACTCAACGTGAGAAAAAATGCATCATGAAATGGTTAAAAAAAGTTTATAAATTATTCATCGTTTATAAAAACAATGTGTATACTTGAAACATTTCATTTAAATAATCTTTGAAGCCCTAAACGTTAACGATTAATCACAAAACAATATCATGGGTGGCAATTTCGGACACGACCCGATACACGACTCGAAACCCACACGATAAAAAAACAGGTCAATTTCGAGTCAACCCGTTCTGACCCATTAAATAAACAAGTGGATTTCGGGTCAATCCGCTAAGGGGTTTTGAACCCCTACCACCCTCATTTCTCTCAAACATCTTATCCATCATGCTACAAACAACTTTGTGATTTTATGGTATGTCTTTTGATATTTATAATGTTTCTTTTTCTTTTGTGTTTTCCTTTCTTTTCCGTCTCACTTCTCCTTTTTTTTTTCTTTTTCTTTTTCTTTCTTTTCCTTCTCTCTTCTCTCCTCTCTCTATCTTTTCCTTATATTTTCTATACTCTCACTGTTTTTTTTAATATAAATTTTTTCGGTTGTGAATTTCGTAACATGCATGTTATTATTTATGAACCCATTACACGACTCGAAACCTGCACGATAAAAGACGACTCGAACCCGACACGACACGTTTATTAAATAGGTTGAATTCGGGTTGAGCATTCTTGACACATTTATTATCTTGACACAACACGATCCATTGCTAGCCCTCTTACCACAAACACATCAAATTTGAAGGCTTGGCACCCAAAACAACTTTGGAAAACTATCACATCCGGTGGAAATTTGAAGAGGGCATATGGTAACTTGGCCAGGCCGTAAAGGAAGGACATAAAGAAAACAGACGCAGCGACAGCAACAGTGTAAGCAACAAATACTCATGACTCTGCGCGTCTTCCATGACCAAAGCCATGAATGAGACGCCCCTGACTTGTAGGGCTGTTGACTGGTGAGATTGAACAAGCAAACAAAATCCCAGTTTTTATTTTTCTTTTCTTTTTGTCTGATGGACCC